GGGGCTATAGCCCCCCCTAGCCCCGGTGTAGCGCCGTCACTGTGCAAACATGATCAATTATTTATCCATACTTTATTAACCAGCAAATGAGCCCTTTTAGCTTTTGCAAAACCGAAGACATGCATGCTAATAAAATCTCTTTAATCTTCAAGGTTTGACCAAAGGGGGTGTGGCTCCAGCTGGAAACAAAAGTGACCCCTCTCACAGCTCCTCGAAAGCTGACGCCCACTCCTGGCACATGTTCTTCAACTTCGACCTCGACTCCGATGATGACCTGTTTAACCCCTTCCTGCGGAACCCCCTGCCCCACCTCAGCCGTAACCATGGAAACAAAGGTGGGCTCAAGCCATCGGGCGTGGCTGAAGTTCACGAGCTCCTCGTGTCAATGGAGGACATTTTGATGGGCGTGACAAAGCGTGTGAAAGTGACACGCCTCCGGCAGACGGACAAACACGCGTTGAGACCGGAAGAGCGCGTGTTCGACGTGGAGGTGAAGAAGGGATGGAAGGAGGGCACCAGGATCACCTTCCCCAAGGAGGGCCATCAGATGCTCGGCCATGCCCCAAATGACCTGGCCTTTGTTATTAAGGAAAAGAAGCACACCCATTTCAGACGAGACGGCTCGCATATTGTGTACACCACCACCATCACGCTGCGAGAGGTGAGATGTGTACGTGTGTACGTGTGTATGTGTGCATGGCAGTACGAAATGTTCCCTCGCAGTCGCCGGTACTCAATAAGCCTCTGCAGAGAGCTGCATCTAAATTTAGCATCTCTCCCCCGCAGCCTCAGAGCACACACTCTCCCTCCCATCTCGCACACCACCTCCTCAGCTCTCAGCTTCGTCTCACACACATTCTGTCATTCGCTCCTCTCTAGCAGTGGATCCTATTTTGCCTATACGCCCTCATGTATCTATTTTCTAAGAAAACTATGAATAGACCCATAATATCTACAGAGCAGGGTGACAAATATAATGGTGTCAATTAGAATCAAATTAGCACTTATTTTACAAAATATTTACTCAAAAAAACAGAAATGGTCAATTATTTTGGACAGATTTTGGAACTGACACTGATTATTGGTCAAATAATTGGCCTGGCTGAAATATCAGTAAATATTCAGTCCATATTTGGCCATTTTAAGATTATCGGCACTGGTAACTGTACCTGATTGCCCAAATAATGCTGATATATTCATAAAATTACAATGAAATTAACACTTTGTACAATAAAAGAACATTGTTAATAATCTGCTGACAGATTTTGGAACTTCTGTTAACTAGCCAAACAGAAATCAATCATTTGATGCCGATAATCTTAAAATGGCCAATTATTAGGCCATTAGTTGGCCTGTTTTGCCATTTTGAAATTATTGGCACTGATTACTGCGCCTGCTTGGCTGATAAACTTAAAATGGCTAATTATTGGTTGATTAATTGGCCTGGCTGAAATATCAGGAAATATTCAGTCCATATTTGGTCATTTTAAGATTATCGGTACTGATAAGTGTGCCTGATTTGCTAATATATTGCAGAAAAATTCATAAGACAGCAAACTAGAATTCAAAAATATTTTATACAATATTTATTCCAAAATATCACAAACATAGCGTATTATCATTGAAAAGTCTGTTGATGCTTTTGGAACTGAAACAGTTGTTAATCAGCCAATTATTGGCCAAATAATGTTTAGCCATTTTGAGATTATTGGCCGAATAAGTGATCATTAAATTGACCATCCTGCTCTCTAAACATCAGATTTGGCATTGACTATTAAAAACAAACATTTATTCTTTCATTTTTTCCAGCTCATTTCATCTCTCCCCCGCAGCCTCAGAGCACACACTCTCCCTCCCATCTCGCACACCACCTCCTCAGCTCTCAGCTTCGTCTCACACACATTCTGTCATTCGCTCCTCTCTAGCAGTGGATCCTATTTTGCCTATACGCCCTCATGTATCTATTTTCTAAGAAAACTATGAATAGACCCATAATATCTACAGAGCAGGGTGACAAATATAATGGTGTCAATTAGAATCAAATTAGCACTTATTTTACAAAATATTTACTCAAAAAAACAGAAATGGTCAATTATTTTGGACAGATTTTGGAACTGACACTGATTATTGGTCAAATAATTGGCCTGGCTGAAATATCAGTAAATATTCAGTCCATATTTGGCCATTTTAAGATTATCGGCACTGGTAACTGTACCTGATTGCCCAAATAATGCTGATATATTCATAAAATTACAATGAAATTAACACTTTGTACAATAAAAGAACATTGTTAATAATCTGCTGACAGATTTTGGAACTTCTGTTAACTAGCCAAACAGAAATCAATCATTTGATGCCGATAATCTTAAAATGGCCAATTATTAGGCCATTAGTTGGCCTGTTTTGCCATTTTGAAATTATTGGCACTGATTACTGCGCCTGCTTGGCTGATAAACTTAAAATGGCTAATTATTGGTTGATTAATTGGCCTGGCTGAAATATCAGGAAATATTCAGTCCATATTTGGTCATTTTAAGATTATCGGTACTGATAAGTGTGCCTGATTTGCTAATATATTGCAGAAAAATTCATAAGACAGCAAACTAGAATTCAAAAATATTTTATACAATATTTATTCCAAAATATCACAAACATAGCGTATTATCATTGAAAAGTCTGTTGATGCTTTTGGAACTGAAACAGTTGTTAATCAGCCAATTATTGGCCAAATAATGTTTAGCCATTTTGAGATTATTGGCCGAATAAGTGATCATTAAATTGACCATCCTGCTCTCTAAACATCAGATTTGGCATTGACTATTAAAAACAAACATTTATTCTTTCATTTTTTCCAGCTCATTTCCATTTTTACTTTCCATACCAAACTTCTCGCCCCCGTTCGCTCTCTCCCTCTCTCATTTTCCACATCCACTTCATCTTTCTCTTCCCACGCATACCCTCCCGTCCCCCACAGACTGGAGCATCATTGAGAAATGAGGGCGATTAGCGGCTCTTTTCTGCTCTTGTGTAACTGTAATGTTCAATCTGTCTGGCCTATATTCCGCCCACATTCATACTCGCATTATATAAAAGCATCATATATAGACAAGTGCATTAGACCTCATAACATATGCCGGAGGGGCATTATAGCTCTTATGCTGCCAAAACACTGCAGCTTGTGATATAACAGATTGTATCTCAAGACAAAGAGAGCTACTGCGGATCGATACAGACCTTTATAACTTCATCAAAGATGATCTTGTGACACAACGTTTAACGGTTTTCCTTCTTTGTGTTTTTCTCCAGGCTCTATGTGGGTGTACGGTTAACATCCCTACACTTGACGGACAGATGAAACCCCTCCCATGCAATGATGTCATCAAGCCCGGCTCAATGAGAAGGCTAATAGGGGAGGGGCTTCCCCGAGTGAAGAACCCAGCCCAGCGTGGAGACCTGCTGGTCGAATTTCAAGTCGTTTTCCCTGATCGCATTCCTCCGAGCAGCAAAGAAATCATCAAACACAGCTTGGGACAGTGTTAACTAAAGAAAACACGCTCATTTTGGTGACGGACTTAAAGTCAGCTGTTTGTCTCTGTGAGGCACACACACTCTGCGCTGATGGTGCTACTCTGAAGTGTTAGCATACTTCTTTAACCATGACGACCTTGTACTCACGTACAGAACTGTCAGTGATTTAGTCTCTATGAGAGATCCCTGTGTCATGTTCCAATGAATTATTTGTAAAAATTATATAGAGAAAATGTGAATTTCAGATATGACCTGGCATGTATGATGAACGCATGTTTTGTAAGCAGAAATAAAGTTTTGTTAATGAAATAACTGGAATTTGGTGTTGCGGTCTTTAATGTGTTAAGCACATAAGCACTTAAATATGCCCTCATTTGCATATTTAAACATAATATTTCAGACAACTTGCAATACAACATTTAATGTACTGTGATTAATCAACTGAGGAAGTATGATGGTCTCAATTAGTTAACATTTTTACCCTAATCACCTTTGGTGTCTTGCCTCAAAAATACCGTTCAAAGAGATAAAAGATTAATAAAGTTGATCTATATGTATTATTTGAGATGTTCATATTCCACACTAGAAATGGTGGAATTTTTGCACTGTGGATTTGAATACTAATAAACACAAAAGCTATATGAGGCCATGGTGCGGTTGATTAAAACTCAGTAGCTGCCATAAAGTTTTAGCTTTTAAATATTTAATCAGCATGCTTTTAATAGTTTCAAAGCATGCTGTATATTCCCTATTGCTTTTTGAAGATGAAAATAGTAACTTTACACAAAGTGCTCCATAGGAAAAACTAATCAAGAACACATCCAAGAGTTGTTCATATACATAAAAAGATCAAATCTGTTGGAAATGCCCCAGTGCACAAAGTGTGGTCTACAAAGAAATGTGCACAGGCCAAACTTTTGGGATACACTGAAACAATAAGCCAGACTCCATCATAAAAACATAAGTACCTGATCTCAGTGATGTTTATGTCTGAACGAGAGCAAATCCCTGCATCCATGTTCCAGCATCCACTAGAAAACCTTCCCAGAATTCTGCAAAGCAGCACAGGGAGAACAAAGTCCACATTAAAGCAAATGATTTCAAATTTAAAGGAATAATTCACCCAAAAATGAAAAATAAACTCACTCTCAGGCCATCCAAGATGCAGATGAGTTTATTTCTTCATCAGAACAGATTTGGAGAAATGTAGAATTACATCACTGTCTCAGCAATGGATGCTCTCCAGTGAATGGGTGCCATCAGAACGAGAGTCCAACCAGCTGATAAAAACATCACAGTAATCCACAAGTAATCCACACCACTCCAGTCCATCAGTTAATAGGCTTGTGAAGCGAAAAGCTGAAAAGAAAAGGCATGATTCATATAATTTTCTTCTCAAATAGTTATTCCCCTTTGTGTGCAAGTGATCTTTTTCCAAGGAAGGTCCTCCAAAGTTGAAATACAGTCAGAAAATGTGCAAAGTTGTACCTTTAGGGTTACAATATACTCCTAAAAGGTCTGTATTAGTCCTTTAAAGTAGTAATACGTATCCTTTTTGTGAACCTTTTTGGGTAAATAAGGTATAAAGATGACAAGCTATTTGAGGGTACTGCCTCAAGCAGTTTTACCCCTAATGGTACAATATTTGCATATTTTTCTAAGAGTCCTGTATATTTGATTGGGCATATTTGGCAGTGATTCTCTCAAGCTCAACAGACTGGTATTCACAGGAAATGTGCAAATATATGAACTGCCAAACAGAAAGACCAACTACGTCTCGGTCTCGGAGCCGATCCTGGCGCCTCCCATCCCCTCGTCCCTGACCTCCTCAGCGGAGAGAAGGGCCACCGGGCAGCGCGCCAGGTTTCTACGCCCGGATGGGGCCACTTACGCCGGGTCCGAGTCCTTGCGCGTGCCAAACTGGAGGACGAGCGCCCCGGTTCTGCTGCAGTCCAGTGATTCGGACACGGAGCGGGTCAACACGGTGCCCCCGAACTCACCAGCACTGCATGTGACTCCAAATGGGGTAGGGTCAAAAACACTAAATCGCCTAAACACATGATTTAATGAAATATTAAATAATCGAAAATCTCTTTTACGAATTTGAATATTAATGGAAGATGTCACGGTTTTTGGTGGTTATACTTATAGGCCTAATGGTAGGCTATCATATTTTAATACCATGATTCGTAGAAATGGTAATATAAAACTTTAGTAATTTGCCATTTTCATATATACACAGTGTTGAGTGTAACGCATTACAAGTAACGCGAGTTACGTAATCAGATTACTTCAAGTAACTAGTAAAGTAACGCATTACTTTTTAATTTACAAGAGAATATCGGAGTTACTTTTTCAAATTAGTAACGCAAGTTACTTTTTTCCAATTTGATTGACAGCTCTCCTGTCCCCATGCTGAGAGAAATCAGAAGATGTTACTGTAATTCTAAAATAAATATGAATATGCATTAATTCCTCTCACTCACAAAAAAACCCCCCACAGATTTAGTATTCCTCAAAATGAATAAAATTAATGCAACTCAGAATATAACGCAAACCTGCAATAATTAAATGTTAAACAACACAAATATCCTTTATGTATTTAATCCCATTCTATTAATCAATGTCTTTGCTTCTGACCTTCGATGATCCAGTTCAACCGTACTAATAAGCACAAATCACTCTAGACAAACATTTGTGTGTCTTTTTTTTATTGCTGAAGTGTGTTGAATTTCTTCTTCTGCGTTCTACGGATGTAAATTTACGCTTTTATATTTGCCAAAAATATAACTTTTTTTTATTTGTAAAAACAAACAGGCAAGCCCTGTCCAGATTTAAAAAGCAACGTAACGCATTACTTTCCAAAAAAAGTAGCCAAGTAACATAATTAGTTACCTTTTTATGGAGTAACGCAATATTGTAATGCATTACTTTTAAAAGTAACTTTCCCCAACACTGGTATTTACAATGTACAAAAAGCATTACCGGACCATATTAAAAAGTGCAATAGATCTGTTTTGGTTATAATATAATGGGGCATTTTTGTTTTTATAGTTCTTTGAAATGGTAATATAAAACTATGATAATTTGATTGACATTCTCATATAGTGGGTATTTATATGTCACTGTATGTCCAAAAAGCAAATATTGGAGTATTTACATAGCACTGTAATGTCCACAAAGCATGGTATTACCATAGTAACAGATCCAAAACACCATAGATTTAGATTTATATATTATGGGAAAATTACTACATGCAGTATTTATAGAGTAAAACATTGGTGGCAATGGTCAGTGCTTGGGAAAACTACTTACAAATTGTAGTCCATTACTGATTCCAAATTACATGACAATAATTGTAGTTAGTAATGTAATCTATTATACATTACACATTTTATGTAAATGGACTACTTATTCATTACTTTTAGATTACGCATGACCTAGCTCGTTTATCACATTGATTTAAATAGGATAATATTGTACCATATTGATACAAATATGCAAAGAATATTTAAAAAATATATTCCATTCGTTGTTATTAACAACATTAAGTGCATTAAACATTGTCACGGTTTCTTAAACTGTGGTTCATGAAGCATTTTAATGTGTTTGAAAGACAAAGCCTTCCAAAGATGAAGACTTGTGTGTATATGTAATCAATAAAAAAAGTTACTGTAGTCTGATTACGAGTATTTTAAAATGTAAATTTTGGAATCTGATTACATTATCCAGATTACATGTAATCAGTTACTACCCAGCACTGGCAATGGTCTCCACGATCAATCTTTTTGGGAAACGCAGCCCAGTTTATTAGCTGTAGTCTGGTGGCTGACACGGAAATCGATTACTTTCTGTACAGTTTTGGGTCGAACTGAAATGTGAGGTAAAACTTGCCCATGAGTAATTTAACTGTTTAACTGCACTGGTTACAGTTCTCAATGCCGGTGACTTCCATGCGTAGAAGCAGCACCATGGAGCTGGAGAGCACTCCTCTGGATAAGATCCATGTGGAATGTGAGTTCGCCAGCATCATCCCGCCGGAGAACTCCTGCTATGTGGCATCGTCAAGCCCCTCGGCTGGGGGTTCTGGACTGGACAGTGACTTTGGAGCCAGTGCAGGTTAGTTTTGTGATCTCATTCACTGAACTGAGACTTCAAAAGCTCAAGCCTAAACTACATATACACTACAAATAGAAAACTTCGGATTTGGAGTCTGTCCATTCTTTGATTTCTCCTAACTGTTCATTTAGGTGTATCTCTGCGTATCCTTTCTATGGACAGTGATGGTTTCCCGGGTTCTGTCTGGGCATCCGCTCTGGAATGGGATTACTACAACCCAAGTTATGTCACTCAGAACCACGTCCCGAAGCACAGACCTCACGCACCCCCCATCACTACCAAACAGTACTGGGTCTAGAGCCTGAGCTCCATAGAGAGCGATCAGAACAAGACTCAATTCAGCCATTCTCATTCTAGAACTTCAGTTGAGTCTAGATTTCTGTCTGGGTTTAGTGCACTCAAAAAATGTTCACTTGCTGTTTTAACTGCAACACATCACATCTTGTCAAATCACACACAATCAAAAAAAAAATTTCACAATCACAGCTTACTTCTGCAGCAATTCCAAATGGGTTTGTTCGGTTTATAAAAGTGTTTATAGAATCACTCTACTGTTGCTCTCACTTTTGATATGTTTGCACGTGTTTCTCAGCATGGAGTTACTGAGGTCTTCAGAAGAGGCGGTTTTGAGTCCTTCACAATTTTGACACCCTACACATTCTTGTATTTGTAAACAATTTAGATTGCGCCCGAATTGAATAAAGTTTTTAAAAACAGGGTGTCATTTTATTGTAGACTTCGAATGCAAATATTAAAAGAAACCTTAATAAACAATAGCCATTCCTAGCAAGATCAGTTTTCCGATATTCATTGGAATTTATACTAATATTAAAGTCTCAAATCTGGTGATCAAAACCTTCATAAAACCATGCAAGCTAAAAAAAAATATATATATATATAAAAACTAATTTTATATTACTCTTCACATAAATCAGTTCATAACAGCCTTTGGTTTGTATTGATATTAAAAGGTAACTTGTTTTCAACTGGTTTGAGAAGTACCGAGTGCGTTAGTGAAACAACAGGATGCATTCAGACATATTTCAAACACCACTTTTTTTTTTTTATTGGAAAGTTTATGAGGAGCTGGACGCAGCCACTGCTGCCCGACGGGGCTTGGGCACAGTTCCCTCACGGAATCCATTTCTGAAATACACACACAAAACAAAAAAATACTTGAGTCAACATAACATCACAAATAATAGCCCTAGAGATAATTCACAAGCCAATAGCATGACTGCAAGGGTCTCAAATCTATCGATCAAGTCCCTTCAAGCAGTAGTTTCAAAAAAATTGGAAAGTTTATGAGGAGCTGGACGCAGCCACTGCTGCCCGACGGGGCTTGGGCACAGTTCCCTCACGGAATCCATTTCTGAAATACACACACAAAACAAAAAAGTACTTGAGTCAACATATCACAAATAATAGCCCTAGAGATAATTCACAAGCCAATAGCATGACTGCAAGGGTCTCAAATCTATCGATCAAGTCCCTTCAAGCAGTAGTTTCAAAAAAACCCAACTTGTCTGAAGAATAAAAACTGAACAGAAAACAGATCCTAACAGGTACCTATCCGAGCGTATGGGCCAGGCTTACCTCAGTATAAAATTGTTATCACTGGACAGTCATTTGTTCAGACATTTATTTTTGAACATCATTGGTAAGCCACTGTATGGATGCTAATTTAACCTGACTACAGCATCTCAGGTTTTAGGCAAGTATCAAATCACAGGAAGGTCTCCATCAACGACAATACACTGTGTCAATGTCCGATAACAAAAAAAGCAAAAATCCCAATTTGGCAAAACTCTCATAAGTTCGAAAATGCCTCAAGTAAACACTAAACTGAAAGATTAAAAGCATGAAAGTCTGAGCAGACCACTGCATGCCAGTTTCCTCACCTGAACCTGCGGAAAACAACCTTCAGGTGTCTCATGCGGCCGGTTCCTGTGGTGCTGCGTCTCTTGGCCTTAACGCTCCAGTTGTCTGCAAACAAAAACAAGTATATTTTAAAACGCATGAAAATAAAATGCATTCCTCTAGCCACCCATAAACATCTCGGGCTTACCTCAGTTCAAACCTGTTATCACTGGACAGTCATTTGTTCAGACATTTATTTTTGGACATCACTGGTAAGCTTTGATGTGCCAGACAGAACACATGCATTTTTGCAGTTCGCTCTTATATTTTAATAAATTGTGCGTGCAAGTTTAAAAGAATAGCTCACCCAAACAACAAAAACTGCGTTTTTATTTTAAACCATCACAACTGGTCAGAGTCCATAATCCATAGTAACACTTCCTCGAGTGAAAAAGTCCCTGTCGTCCCCTCACATCAAAATTCACTGGCATATCCGTTAATAGCGGTTCTGGATTGCTTCCGCTTATAAGAGGTGCTTGATCTGTGCAGATTTCTCCCCTGATTCAGACGAGACACTTTTTCACTGGAGAAAGCACTATGTATAGGGGACTCGTACTCACAAGACATTAACTGATGGACTGGAGTGGTGTGGATTACTGTTATCAGCTGTTTGGACTCTCATTCTGACGGCACCCATTCACTGCTGAGCAAGTCATGTAATGCTAAATTTCTCCAAATCTGTTCCCATGAAGAATCTTAACTCATCTACATCTTGGGTGGCCTGAGGGGTTTCAGCATAATTTCATTTTTGGGTGAACTACTCCTTTAATATTAGCAATTTTACCATACCAATAAAGCTACTTGATCCAGATCAATGCAAAAACAACCAAACTTTGAACTGTAATAATTCATATACAGATCAAGACGCTTACACTTTCTCTTGCGCTTGGCAGGGTAGCCACACTTCCCGCAGGTGGACTTCTGCAGGTGATATGCCTTGGATCCACATCTGCGGCACAGTGTGTGCGTCTTATTATGACGCTTACCGAAAGATGACGTACCCTTCGTCTGGAAAACACAAGAATTCACATTACTGCTGAGATTGAAATGTTCCCATTCATACAACAGCAAACTGCCCACCTAGACAGCATTCATTCCCATCCTACTTTGGACACTATTACCCCCATAAGTGATGTCTATGCAGGCAGCTCACTAGGAGGATAGCTCCATAGTGGTCTAGATTGAGATGTTCCTAAATATGCTAATTAGCCAGCTCACTAGGTTGTTGCCCTCAAGGTTAAGTTAGCTAAATAAGTTTAGACGAAGATGCACAAGTAGTATGTTTCAGGAAGAATAACATTGATAAAAAGTAACCAGAGACTATGACTTCCCATTGAACTGTCTAGGGAGGGAAGCACACTAGGATATAACGCACAAAAATGCTGTCTAGAAAAGCAGCTTATTAGGTTTCCGAGACGCAGACGAGTGTTTGCAGAAACTTGCCCATCTAAACTCATGCCACGGAAGACACTCAGAAACACAACTCGCTTCGTACCGCTTATCCGACAGTTTTAGACATTCAGATGGTACCAGGTATATTAGCACCCAAAACCACGTATATAACATTATTTAAAATTAACTCTCTTAAAGCTAACCGGTGTATTTCTCGAGCTCGTCGGAACTGAACGAGAAGGCTAAGCGCCATGCTAACCGATAAAAATATCATCTAACACCTTTCGCTATCGAGGAATCACAGACATAATAGATGATAATCAGTCTTGAATATATATGCTTGTGATATTATTACTGGTACAGTGATTAAAAACAAGCCATGAATCAGATGTTAGAGGATTCTGAAGGCAAGGCGCTGTGAAACTCACCATCTTTCCTCAGAGCTGATTCGAAAGAGACCGGAAGAGACGCTGGTGTACCATTAAAACACCACCGGCGCGCTTTCGGTGCAACAACTAAATACGTCCCCCTTGTGTTACACTGCGGACTTCTTCATTCGAGAGCATACATCAATTAGGCTATTTTAATTGTGACGAAGATAAAACATATTTTCACCGTAATAAGTAACTGTTTTGGTCACAAAAAGATTAATTATAGAAATGCCATGTAGATTTATGATGACAAGATTTATTTATAATAAGACGGGGCATAGAGGAGAAACAATAATGTACAGTATGTGGAAAATAATGTGTTTTTTTAACCTTAAAGCGCATAAACACATTTCATTACACCAAATACACAAAATAATGTTCTTTTTAGCAGCATCATATGACCCCTTTAAAGACAACAGAAATCAGTGGAAAGCCCAGCAATATTTAATAACAATGTGTGTGTATAGTGTGTGTTATAGCTCTTGTGGGAACGAAGCCAGCACGTTTTTATTGATTTGTCTTTTCCAAACGGTCTTTGCAAGGCCTCACAGCCAATGCCGGCAACCATAAACATGAATTACAGAGCTGACAAAAACGTCTGGGCTTAAATTGTCCCTGAGACCAAAAAAAGAAGAAGAAAAAAAATATCCGAAATGACTTTCATTAGGCTGCCACAATCCTCTGATATCACTGAATGGAAAAACACTGATTCTTTCCCATGCAATTCCAGTCATTGACCCTTTAATCCCATATCTGATGTCATTCCCTCAAATGTGATGTGTAAGATCAAAGCAGAAATCAGTGGAAAGCCCAGCAATATTTAATAACAATGTGTGTGTATAGTGTGTGTTATAGCTCTTGTGGGAACGAAGCCAGCACGTTTTTATTGATTTGTCTTTTCCAAACGTTCTTTGCAAGGCCTCACAGCCAATGCCGGCAACCATAAACATGAATTACAGAGCTGACAAAAACGTCTGGGCTTAAATTGTCCCTGAGACCAAAAAAAGAAGAAGAAAAAAAATATCCGAAATGACTTTCATTAGGCTGCCACAATCCTCTGATATCACTGAATGGAAAAAAACTGATTCTTTCCCATGCAATTCCAGTCATTGACCCTTTAATCCCATATCTGATGTCATTCCCTCAAATGTGATGTGTAAGATCAAAGCTTTCATTTAAAGCGGGATGTGTTGCAGCATAATATGGTTGAAAAGAAACATTTTAGCACAGTGTTAAAAACATATATTCTTGTTTTAGTAAGCAATACACTGTAAAAAATGCTAATAATTTTAACAGAAAAAGATTTTATAATATAAACAGTGTTGGGGGTAATGCATTACAAGTAACACGAGTTATGTAATCAGATTACTTTCTTCAAGTAACTAGTAAAGTAACGCATTACTTTTTAATTTACAAGAGAATATCGGAGTTACTTTTTCAAATAAGTAACGCAAGTTACTTTTTTTTTCTCCAATATATTGATTGACAGCTCTCCTGTCCCCATGCTGAGAGAAATCAGAAGATGTTACTGTAGTTCTAAAATAAATATGAATATGCATTAATTCATCTCACTCACAAAAAAATATATAAAAACACAGATTCAGTATTCCTCAAAATGAATAAAAATAATGCAACTCAGTATATAACGCAAACCTGCAATAATTAAATGTTAAACAACACAAATATCCTTTATGTATTTAATCCCATTCTATTAACCAATGTCTCTGCTTCTGACCTTCGATGATCCAGTTCAACCGTACTAATAAGCACAAATTACTCTAGACAAACTTTGTGTGTCTTTTTTTATTGCTGAAGTGTGTTGAATTTCTTCTTCTGCGTTCTACGGATGTAAATTTACGCTTTTATATTTGCCAAAAATATAACTTTTTTTATTTTAAAAACAAACAGGCAAGCCCTGTCCAGATTTAAAAAGTAACGCAAAAGTAACGTAACGCATTACTTCCCATAAAAAGTAACTAAGTAACGTAATTAATTACCTTTTTATGGAGTAACGCAATATTGTAATGCATTACTTTTAAAAGTAACTTTCCCCAGCACTGAATATAAATATAAAAAATGATAGCTTCTTCTATACTATATGGTGAAAACGTATATAGTATTAGATGTGCCATTTTATTGAAAAAAAACACTGTAAAATGATGATTTTTGGAAGTGAAAAAAGTATAGATGATTAAAAAACTTTAATTAGGCTAATGAAGTGAATGATGAATGATGAATGGTTAAATTCTGTTTTTCATGATATATATATATATATATATCATGAAAAGGGCATTCAAAAGTCCCTGTGTGACACATCACTTTAATCATATTTTATTTAAATAGTTCCTCTTAATAATAATAATAATAATAATAATTCTTTGGACATTTTATTTATTATTTAGTAACACTTTGCAATAAGGTCACATTAGTTAATATTAGTTAACATTAAGTAACAATGAAAAATACTTCTAAAGCATTTATTAATATGAGTTAATTCCAAGGTTTATTAACATTATTAAAATCGAAAGGTATCAAACATTGTTTAATGGAAGTGAGTTAACATTAACAATGAACAGTTAATGAACGTTAACAAAGATAAATAAATGGCTACTGTAACAAATGTATTGTTCATTGATAGATACTATTAGTTCATGCAGTCATGTCATGTAATGTACAATAGGCTGTAATATTATTGTATTTAGCCTAGTTAATGTTTACGGCATTATTTTAACATCAAGTTATCATGATGTTGTTTTAGCTTGAACATAATATAATGTCCAACTATCAGTGCAAAGTCCAAATTCGTCCTCGTGTAATTGCAGTAACTGACCCCGCATCACATTTTCTATGCTTTCATTATTGGTTTGATACCAGCCCGAGTCTGCGGTCCCTCCCTGCCGCGCTGCTGGTGCTGATGAGAGGGAGAGGAGCGCGTCACAAACTACGCGCTCTCCGCATTTGAGACGCGCTTTCTGCAGGAGCGTCGCGTACTGCAGGTTATGCGAGATTTACTACACGTCCACAAATAGACGATTGACCTCATTGGGCAGTTGTACTCTCGCTTTAACTGACATACTCACGGGCAGGTTGCTCAAACGCGACACTGAAGCGAAAGGCAGCTGCTATGGAGACCGAGAGCGCATCGGTGCCCGTGAGGACGGTAAACACGCGCGGGTGTGACTCAGTGCGTCTTCTGTAGGGCAAACGCGACCGTGGGTTTCTCTTCTGAAGGATGGGCTACTCAGATCCGACAGCTAGTAGAGATCTGTTAGGAAACAGATCCTTGTGTTTTATTTTCATATGTGCTTTTGGACTGGTCACCTTATTGCAGCAAATCCTCTATGGCAAGAACTACGTTAAAAGGTAAGGTGATTAATTTATTTAATAGTGCATAATGCAAAAAAAAAAATGCTATGTTCTATGAGGGCATGTGCAAAATAGTCTTCAGCAATTAATCTTAGTCATGTTTAATTGCACCCATATGGCTCTAAAATCTCTTTTAAACTTAAGCTCCATTAAATCATGCCATACACAGTCCCCTGAATGACTGTCTATGCAGCGAGATGCTTAAGTCTGTTTTCTTCTTCCCCTGTGTTTATTTTTCTCGTCTTGATTTGTTTTTTCTACCTTCAGCCCTTTAAACAGCTCATACATCTTGCGTAAACCTGTGTGTGTGTGTGACAGCAAAAAGCCATATATTGCAGAATTGTATCATATGCAATTGTGTCTATAGGCTGTGAAGAAAAACTGGAAGACTGTGATGTAGCCTTCTTTGCATGAGCACATAGATTCAAGCACTAGAAATTAATTATGCATTTAAGTCATGGTGGTGTTTCGCAAGATCCGGACTTCATGCCTTTTTTGGGGCCACTTGCATCAAAATGACATCATACCGAGAATAAGTCCCCGGAAGAAGGTGAATCATTTTAGTTTTTTCGGGAACGGAGGTAAGCAGAGTGAGATGGCTCAGCATTGCGAGGGTGTTTGAGTGTGTGTGTGTGTGTGTGTGTTTGTCAATGTAAAATGGCGTCTCACGTAAGAAGCGCCCCCAGTGCATTATGGTTCCTGCGTCCCAGCAGATGCCCATATGCTGAATTAGAGCATAGAGCATTCTCACACTCCCACCTGAACCCCCCTCTTGCGTCTCGCACACACTCAGGATTCATGACATCAGAGGCTGACGGCTACGGATTGCATGAATGCTGTTCTGTACCCCGTATCTATTCTGCTGAAGTGGAGAGAAACAAGTGTAGGGGTGGGTGAGTGCTTTTGGCTCTAACTGCAGCTTCAAACCCAGCAATGAGAGTAAATGGACACCAAATGGAGACTTTTCAGTCTTCTAATTCTCAGATTTTCTTTTGACAAAAAAACTTTTCCTTAATGTTTCAGAACAGCGAATGAAAAACTAAGCTCAGATTTCCTAAGAACCCATTGTGAAAATGAACTCAAAACCAATCAGTTGAACTCAAAAACCAAGCAATAGTCTCAATATAAAACTTTTATCTCCCAAGGCTAATATTTCTGGGTTATGCTATATTTTTAGTGGTGTTTGCCAAGGCAAATGCTATTTGCTACTGATAAATGGACAAATGGTAATAGCTATATTTCCAGTTAAGGATTTGACCAAATCTCAAACCCTGCATGACGAAGAATAACAAAAGTTCCTAAAGCCCATAAACTTGAATAGGGTATCAAGCCATAAAAAGGCGTATTATAAATGAGGTGCTCCTTTGACTTGGATCAATAAGCAAACAACAACCTGACAACCATCTAAACAAAATCCCTAGCAACTATTCAGAACACCTTAGCAACCGCATAGAAATGCCCTGACAACCATCCCTGCAGAAAAAAATAATAGCAACCCTCATAGAATTTGTAATGCTTTTAATGGTTATAATGGGATTTGTGTTGGTTTGGAAACTGTAATGGTCCTTGTGGGTCTCTGCTGGTATTTGTCACCTTCTATTGGTGGCAATACCTCTAAATTCTAATAGGATGGCCAAACACACGACAGATAATGGTTTTAATGGTCAACAGTTGATGATTTGTAATGTTTATAATGGTATTTAGAACCATTAGAACGTCTATGATGGTTTCTGCTGTTTTAGAACCACATAGTATTGTGGTGAGTCATGCCACCATGCTTTACATATTCAGAATAAAAAAAAATTAAACAAATATATTTTTCATAATATCTGTACTTTGTTTGAATACAGAATACTGAATATGCCTCTTGTTTTGACCACAAAATAAGGCAGATGTGAAAGAAAAATATGGAAATAAACAAATATATTTTTCATAATATCTGTACTTTTGAATACAGAATACTGAATATGCCTCTTGTTTTGACCACAAAATAAGGCAGATGTGAAAGAAAAATATGGAAGGTGCTTCGTGCTATCGAGTACTTGCGCATGCGCATTGTTACTACTCAGTCAGCGTTTACTGCGTCTGTTTACGGCAGACGCCCAAAATTCTAAAAAGAAATACTAATTCATTCGAGTTGAGATCATGAATGTGTTGGGGTAAAAATACCATTCAAGATAACGGTAAGAAAACAAGTCTTTATTTTAAATTAATTGCGCGTCCCAAACTATCTTGATTAGAAAACATTCAGTGCAAATAGTATAATCTGATTAATAAACAACAGACTCTTATGAACCGATTCGTTTTAGTAAATTATAAACACGCCACTCATACTGTATGAGTCGGATCTTTTAATGAATTGTTTAAAACCGTTCTTCAGAGTGGTTACTGAATCATCACTAAATGAACTGCAAATTATGATAATTTGAAAGCACCTTTTGTGTTATAATGACATGTAACATGTAATTCTTTCCATTTATAACCATCTTTTCTTTATTTTTTTCTTTATAACCAATCAATGGTCTAAATATGAAACATTTCTGCCCAAAGACCAAGATAAAGGCTATGGGTTTTGCGTTCTTTTTTTTCTGGTGTTTGCCAAGGCAAATGCTGTTTGGCCATCTGGCATATAGGGCGTTTTCCCGGTGGGTTGACGCATGCAGGGACAAATTCTGTATTGGGCAGTGAAAACCCAATCACAATGCAATATAAATATTGCTTCTGTAAACACGATGTTAACAGAGGCCAGAGACTGGACGCAATAAAAACAGACACAAAGAGGAGAGAACAGATGCATCAGTAGAGAAAATACTGTACAGGCAGAGCAAGCTCACTGTTCGCGATGCTCGAAATATTGGAAAAACATTCGAAACATTGAATCTGAGGTGGAGGTTTATTAGAATTTATTGCTAAATGGCCAAATTAGGATTATTTGAAAGCCTGTTTTAATGACATGTAACACACAATTCTTTCTACCGTGCCTTTTTATGTATTGTAAAAGTAAAACAATTTTATGTAATTTGAGAGACTATAGAAATATTTAGCCAGTCCTGAGCACCACTCACATTTTCTTCAGAATTTTTAGGAGAAACACCTGAGACACTTAAATGAAACTTGATTGGGCACACAATTAAGTCTTGCATTCTATGAATGAGCAACATCTGAGTGATAAAGTTCATATAGCAAACACAGTCCTTGCGTGTGTGTGAGCATGTGACATTTAGAAGTTATTTTGATATTTACACCTCACATTAAAGCAGTGACAAACACATTTTTATTGCAGCTCAGGTACACGCCAGAATTCATCTGAAAGACTTCATGAAATCAGAGTTCTGTAAGCTTTGAAACAATTTTGCATGCTATTGGACCAAAAAAAATGTTTCCAGTATTTTTTTTTTCCAATAAAATGCTGAACATCGGTTTAGTCAAATTTGTAAATTTTGTTCTAATACATATACTAATGCAAGTTTTTTTTAATCCTACACTCTCAGGGGTGGTACCTTTGTACCTAGAGTCCATATTGGTACCATAAAGGTACATATTAGTACCTAAAGTGTACATATTAGAACCTAAAAGGTACAAAAGTGTACCTTTTGAAAAGGTACCACCCCAGTGACAGCTTTTGTACCTTTTTTCTGAGAGTGTAGTTACATATTCATCTTTTTATAATGCTTTTACAATATGTTTTAAGACGTCAATGTCTTATCTCCCAAAACGCCTGTAAATAATCTGGATTATTGCAATCCCCCTTTTTAGATTTTGCCAGTGTTTTAATCCAAAATGCACTGAAGACAAAATGAGCACCAGTGAGATTACTATCTAGAAATGTGCAAAATAAGATGTTCAACATCTGTCCTCAGTTTTAAATACTATATACACTAGCGTTCAAAAGTCTGGGGTCAGTATGATGAATGAATTAAATTGATCAAAAATGACAGTAAAGACAAAAGATACAGATATATATTTCCAAAGAAATACTGTTCTTTTGAATTTTCTGTTGATCAAAGAAAACAAAAATCACCATTTCCACAAAAATATGAAGCAGTACAACTGATGTCAGCATTGATAATAATCAGAAATGTTTCTTGAGCAGCAAATCAGCATTTTAGAATGATTTCTGAAGATCATGTGACACTGAAGACTGGAGTAATGATGCTGGAAATCCAGCTTTGATCACAGGAATACATTACATTTTAACATATAATCAATCAGAAACCAGATATTTTAAATTCTAATAATATTTTACAATATTGCCGTTTTTACTGTAGCTTACTGTAATAAATGCAGCCTTGGTGAGCAGAAGAGACTTCTTTCAAAAACATCTTATTAATGCTAGTGTATATAAATCATCACTCTCTATTCATTGTTTTCCATAATTTATTGTGACTTTATTTATTGTAACACTTATTGTTGTTTTTTTCAAGGTTTGAGTCACACTTCAAAACGTATGAATGTCTTTGCATTAGATAACAAAATAACAAACCAGTTGATCTTTCATTTAAGGAAAATAAGGACAAGCAGACTTGATTAATTAATAGCAAAAATGGCTCAGAAAAATGTCGCGAGAAAAGCAGATTCCACTTGGTTTGATATTTTTGTCATCTGATGCAATGACACAGAGGCTTTTTGAAGTGTCTAAAAACTTTCGGCGACACTGTACTTGTGAACTGCAGCTGATCTGATGGTATTTGATGTTCTGGATTGCTTCTTTGTCATGAAGATTATCAGTGACACTCCTGACATCATACACCAGTTTTTACATTCTTTGATTAAACCAAACCAATGAAAAACTTTTACAAATCAGTGTGTGTTTGACATTTTCTGCTGCCTTGAACAAATACATGAAACCTTAAACGACCTGCCTCATTTTCTCACTAGTGGGCAACAGTTTTCCCGCCTCAAAGGAGAGGAGGTGGGCAACTGGAGCGGGCTCATTAGTTACCCCGATGAAGGAGGGATGAAGCCGGCCAGAAATGGGAGGAAAAGGTACAAACCAGCAACCTCTCAACAACACCACCAACACTCTAGAGAGACAGTGAGAGAGAATGCCACATAGACAATGATCAGCCGCTTGCATGTCTGGACTGGAGACACATCCAATCCCATCAGCCAATCAGACGAGCAGAAATAAACAGCTGTGGCATCTAAAACCAGGACTGATTCGAGTTTCACTGTTAGATTTCCAGGTTAAAAGGTGAAATTAAGCACAGCGATGATCGCTTCAGGACGTATTTTCCCATTCGCTTTCTCCAAAAACATTACATTTTGATATGAAACAAAAAAATTTGAAGAAAGTTTGAAAATCTGAGAAGTTCTTTTTTTATAAGTGTGTGGTTTTGATTACAGTGGAATACTATCTCACTGCATACTGTACAATATACACTGTATTCTAGCACTTTTTTGGGGGGTTAAAAATAGTAAGTGAAATCATTTCTATTCATATTTTCTTATACAGTATTTTTGTCTTGTTTTCCAGCACAAATATCTAAGCATTCTTAAATCAAGATACATTTACTTGAGAAATACGACGGCTTAAGATATGAAGTCTTGCTTTCTGAAAAATCTGTCAAAATTAAGTGAGTTTATGCTTAAAACAAGAACAAATAGCTGCTAATGGGGCAAGAAAAATAATATTGTTTTCCCTTTAAGTTTTATTTTCTAACCCTATTGGCAAATATTTTCTCTTTACATTTCAAAAAGTAGCATGCTAATTTGTATCACTAAGTTTGATTTTGTTGCATTGCATGTTAAATTTAGCAAGTTACATTCAATTATGCTGGAAACTATTGGGGTTATTTTGCATTTTAATTCAGTTTTGTGTAGAAATACATTTTCCCATGCAGTTTGCTTTATAGCATGTTATATGCACAATGAAAAGTACATTTAGCATGCTTTTCTGAACAAAGCCGCTGTACTTAAATGGGAATGAACTCCTAATAATTGATTTTAGGTGAAAATACTATGTTTTCAATTTATTGCAACATTCAAATATGTAAACATTATATTGCTAAACATTCAAAAATATATAAATAATAATGTTGTATTATTGTTGTAATTTGCATTTTAATTGCACATTATATGTGCGCCAAAATTGTAAAATTAGCATGCTTTTCTGAACAAAGCCACCGTACTTGAATGAACTATTTATCTCAGAAAGCATTGCAATGTATATAAACCAATATAAACCAATTAACTATTGATTTTAGGTAGAAACTACTATATTTTTGAAGTTTATTGCAAAATTAAAATATGCAAACTTTATTAAATAAAATGTATTAAATATTATAGGTTATAAAAATAATATATTATGTACATAATTTATATCAATTATATTTGAATTATATCTATAAATGTGTATAAATGATATTTGAATTATATTATAATTTATATGATGTTGTATGGAGGAGACGAATGGGATTTTTACATTGGGGAACCCTGCTCTTGTGCTCTTTTGTGGTTGTCAGTACTGGGACAGGAACTGAAGGGTCATTGAACTCTAAACCTAATCCACTTGTATGCATCTTGACAGATGTGTCCGTCAGAATTTTCAGCATTCTGAGGCTCAGAGCTCCGTAGTTATCACGCCCTGCCTAGCTGATATTCAGAAGAAAAAAAAAGAAAAGAAAAGGTAGGCCACACTGATGGCATCTCCAGTTCACCTTCTTGCCAACCTTCCGTCCCCCCCTTGAGGATGTCTCTTCGTCTTTTCCATCTGGTCTGAGAGGGTCCGACTGCTCATGCTCAGTGCCCAGCGCACCGCCGCTCCGTTTGTGCATGTTGTCTGCAACCTTCCATCCACCCTCAACCTTTGACCTTTGACCCCCATCACCCTTTTCCCAGCTCCCTGAGGTTGGGAGGCTTCCCTTGTGTTCCTCTGGATGTCATGGGTCCCTGTTTCTGTGTCCCATCGTGCATTTCTTAAACCCCTCCACACCCCACCTGTGTGTGTCATGAGCACACTTGAGTGTATGTGTGTGTGTGTGAGTGCACGCAAACGGTTTGTGTAGTGGAGTGTGCGTATGTGTATGCGTGTGTGTCATGCGACTGGATTCCCGCTTGTACATTGCACCGCCTCTCTTTGACCAGAATTTTTTTTTTGTCTTTTACGGTTCTTCTTTTCATTTAAATGATCACAGAAGATTGTAATGTGTCGTCGGGGGTGTTAGACTGATCACACATAAAGAGCGCTCATGATTACCCAGTGTGCACCTCTTCAGGCTACAGCACAGTCACATGTCATGACGTTACTCCAGTCAGAGATGTATGGAATCGCTAAATGTGTTTCACTTTTTTTCACGCTCCTTCACTTTGTTTCTTTCTTTTTTGTCATTGCTCTTCATTACAAACCATTCTTTTAATTAATTAGCTCACATTTACCCACCATAAGCTGTGTGAAGTTAATAGCTTTGCTCCAAAACCCCTAAACAGCATCTTATTTATTATTATTATTATGAAATGCTCAGATTTTTATGTTACAAATAAATTATTGCAATTATTGCAAATATTTAAAAAATAATAAAATAAAAATATTTTGAATAATTGTTGTTTTTATTATTATTATAAAATAATAAGAATAATAATACAATTCAAATAAAAAGGAAATTAATGTTTTTGACATAACAATAATAATATATAGTACAGTAGTATTATTGCAATAATAATGAAGTAAAAAATAATACAACAAAATAATAATATTTAAATAATAATAAAATAAAAGTATTTTAAATAAAAAAAAAAATAATAATAATAATACTCAGCTTTCTATTGTACAATACAATAGTATTGTTGTAATACTAGTTGATAGAATAATAATAAAATAATAACATATAAATAAAAATATATTGAATAATATTTATATTATAAAATACTAATATTAACACTTAAATAATAACAATAATTAACAATAATAAAATGTAAATATAATAAGATAAAACAAATGACTAATATAATAAGACAAATAAGATTATTATTATATAATAATATAATAATAATAAAATTAAAATAATAAAACATTTATAATAATATAATAACAGTTATTAGTATTTAAAATAATAAAAGGTCAAAAATAATAAAAATTATTATAATATAATATAATTTCTTCTTCTTCTTCTTCTTCTTCTTATTATATAGTCATATTGAATGTGAGGCATGTTTTCCTTCTTTTTTGTCGTTAGCTGATCATATGCCTGGCTAATGCTATAAGACACAAGCTTAAGACGGTAAACGGTTAAGAAAGATTTTTGTTACTGTACAAAGCTGTTAGGATGGAAAGTATAATTTAAATCATGTTATTATATAACAAAGAAGAACATTTAAAAAAATGGTGTGGTGCTTGTATACCCTTTTACATAAAACACTGTGTGTGTTAAACCCATTTTATTCTGCTGTAATAGCACCCATTAGCATGGTGGAAGATAGATATACAGGAGGCCTTTGGCTTTGCGAGGGCTGTTAGCAGCCATTTTGGCTCTGATTTCATTTACAGTAGCAGACCGTCCACCATTAAAGTCCATTTAAAGCCCATTAAACCGTTTGTGCATGTTGTCTGCAACCTTCCATCCACCCTCAACCTTTGACCTTTGACCCCCATCACCCTTTTCCCAGCTCCCTGAGGTTGGGAGGCTTCCCTTGTGTTCCTCTGGATGTCATGGGTCCCTGTTTCTGTGTCCCATCGTGCATTTCTTAAACCCCTCCACACCCCACCTGTGTGTGTCATGAGCACACTTGAGTGTATGTGTGTGTCTGTGTGTGTGTGTGAGTGCACGCAAACGGTTTGTGTAGTGGAGTGTGCGTATGTGTATGCGTGTGTGTCATGCGACTGGATTCCCGCTTGTACATTGCACCGCCTCTCTTTGACCAGAATTTTTTTTTTTGTCTTTTACGGTTCTTCTTTTCATTTAAATGATCACAGAAGATTGTAATGTGTCGTCGGGGGTGTTAGACTGATCACACATAAAGAGCGCTCATGATTACCCAGTGTGCACCTCTTCAGGCTACAGCACAGTCACATGTCATGACGTTACTCCAGTCAGAGATGTATGGAATCGCTAAATGTTTCATTCTTTTTCTTCTGCCTTGTTTTTCATGCTCCTTCACTTTGTTTCTCTCTCTTTTTTGTCATTGCTCTTCATTACAAACCATTCTTTTAATTAATTAGCTCACATTTACCCACCATAAGCTGTGTGAAGTTAATAGCTTTGCTCCAAAACCCCTAAACAGCATCTTATTTATTATTATTATTATGAAATGCTCAGATTTTTATGTTACAAATAAATTATTGCAATTATTGCAAATATTTAAAAAATAATAAAATAAAAATATTTTGAATAATTGTTGTTTTTATTATTATTATAAAATAATAAGAATAATAATACAATTCAAATAAAAAGGAAATTAATGTTTTTGACATAACAATAATAATATATAGTACAGTAGTATTATTGCAATAATAATGAAGTAAAAAATAATACAACAAAATAATAATATTTAAATAATAATAAAATAAAAGTATTTTAAATAAAAAAAAAAATAATAATAATAATACTCAGCTTTCTATTGTACAATACAATAGTATTGTTGTAATACTAGTTGATAGAATAATAATAAAATAATAACATATAAATAAAAATATATTGAATAATATTTATATTATAAAATACTAATATTAACACTTAAATAATAACAATAATTAACAATAATAAAATGTAAATATAATAAGATAAAACAAATGACTAATATAATAAGACAAATAAGATTATTATTATATAATAATATAATAATAATAAAATTAAAATAATAAAACATTTATAATAATATAATAACAGTTATTAGTATTTAAAATAATAAAAGGTCAAAAATAATAAAAATTATTATAATATAATATAATTTCTTCTTCTTCTTCTTCTTCTTCTTATTATATAGTCATATTGAATGTGAGGCATGTTTTCCTTCTTTTTTGTCGTTAGCTGATCATATGCCTGGCTAATGCTATAAGACACAAGCTTAAGACGGTAAACGGTTAAGAAAGATTTTTGTTACTGTACAAAGCTGTTAGGATGGAAAGTATAATTTAAATCATGTTATTATATAACAAAGAAGAACATTTAAAAAAATGGTGTGGTGCTTGTATACCCTTTTACATAAAACACTGTGTGTGTTAAACCCATTTTATTCTGCTGTAATAGCACCCATTAGCATGGTGGAAGATAGATATACAGGAGGCCTTTGGCTTTGCGAGGGCTGTTAGCAGCCATTTTGGCTCTGATTTCATTTACAGTAGCAGACCGTCCACCATTAAAGTCCATTTAAAGCCCATTAAAATAAAAACATGAAGCACTGAGCATGTTTTCATAGACACGGTGCCCGAGGCAAGACTGAAAACGGCAAACAGAGACAAATAATGAGAAAAACACTTCCTGATGCAGTCTATACACTTGCTCCTATTTTACAGTTCATTCATTTAGTCCATGTTTGTAATGCATGTTTTCTGTATTTGTGTTTCACAACCAAGGTGAGGATTCCCATTTCATCCATTCAAACCCGTTTTAAGCTGAATGCGTAACAGAATGAACGAGTCTTCAAAGTGGCTTGTCAACAATCCTCAGGTGGAATTCCTATTATAATTGGGAACCAGTGCAAATGAAATCAAACAAGAATCCTGTTTCACACTGCACTTAGGGAGTGTGTAAGCATTTCTGCTCACGAGAGTCAAACCGCGAGTGGGTAGTTCACTGTTGCTTCTCAAAAGACTATATTGCAGAAGACTGTGGTGCTAAATAGGTTCAGTACACCACGCATGGCACAAATAGGCCGTTTTATGCTTTAACCCAGTGATTCTCAATCTGGTGGCCTAAGCACTGCTCCAAAGGGGCCATAAAAAGGCTTAAAAGGATTAAAATCAAGACTAAATATGCTTTCAAATAAACTGAACAACTATCATTTTTATTTAAGAACCACAATTCTCTTGGAAAACCTGAATATACAAGGGAATTTTAAAATTTCTACACCTGGAAAGGTCATGGACATTACTAAAATATTATAAATTGTAATTTTAATGAACGAATGTATGAATGAATAATTTATTTGTTTACTTTTTAACAAGAAATATGTTTTTTAGTTATATTAAACTCAAAGATATTTTATCAGATTGAAATGGCTATTTGTTAGTGTTTATGTAATTATAAAAATATAATATTTAAAATATCACAAAAAGATTAGAAAAGTAAATGTTGGTCAGTTTTAATAATAAATAAATTAATAAATATATTCAGAGTTATTTTAAACTAAAATATTCATGTAGAAATTGCTATTCGTAAAGAATATATATGTAATTTACATTAAATTTTAAATCGTGTAAATTCACTGTAGACCCTGAAGAACATTCAGTTATTGGAATTTTGCGATTTAATTATTTAATATTTAATTATTTTAATATTGAAATATATTTAATTGTAATTAAATATTGTTATAAATCTAATTGTAACATATATACTGGATAAATGTTTGAATGTATTTAATTAAATTATTTTAAACTGCCACTCCTAGTTTCTGTTAAAGAATAAAAAAAGGCTTTATTGAGCAGCTTTGTCATTACTAGAGAAGTACCAGAAATATCGTGAACTCTTCAGATATTGTCATTGACATTGGGGGAGGGAGGGGGGGGGATTCTTGTTTGATTCTATTCGATTTGGTTCCAAGTTGTGACAGAAATCCATTGGCGTTTCTTCAGGATTGTTTGACATGACACATGCAGCGAGAAAGGTCAGGATCTTCAGTTAGGTTCTTCATGGTGGAATCTCAGGTTGTTCCTGCAGTGTGTGTGTGTGTGTGTGTGTGTGTGTGTGTGTGTGTGTGTGCGTGTGATCAGAGGACTCGTGTCTGACTCCGTGTTTTCTGGCAGGTATCTGGAACGCCCCGATGGCTCTTTGGAGTTCAACTCCACTTCCTGCAAGGAACTACGGCAAGAAATCACAGATGTGAAAGTACTGACCATGTAAGTTTCTCTCTCGGATGTCTGTACATACAGAGCAAGCATTCCAGCGGGAGCCAGATTTCCTGCTGAATGTCTCGTCTCGAAGGACAAAACCTGTAAAAAGAGCATCTATTTAAAGAAATACAACATCTGAGCAAGAACACCTCCTTTCCACTCCTTTCTTTGGAGGCTTTAAAGGGGTCATATGATGCCCATTTTCCACAAGTTGATATAATTCTTTAAACAACTTGTGCATGTAGCATCCGATGACCCCTTTAAATAAGCAAACCTACTTGAAGCTGTGACTGCTGCTGTTTTTCTCTTATTTAACTGACTTCATGTGTGCATGTGTGTTTTAGGGTGAAGACATCAGAGCTGTTTGAGCGATGGAGGAACCTGCAGGTGTGTAAGTGGGAGCAAAACAAGGAGCAGGCGGAGAACTTCAGGTGAGTACATCAACATTTTTCTCTTTTATCTCCCAACTTCAGCACAGTCTTAATGGGATTTCTTTTTGAAACAAAGGAATGATGTCATCTCTTTCGATATCCAATAGGATTCTTTTGTTGTAACGAAGCGATGATGTCATCTCTCCCCCTGTCCAATAGAACGTCTCTGTCCCGTTGCTGCAATGCCCCCTCCTTCCTGTTTTCCACAAAGAGAAACACTCCCTCGGGCAGCAAACTGCGTTATGAGGTGGATACGAGTGGAATCTTGCACATCAGCCCGGAGATCTTTAAAATGTTCCCTGATGTGAGTGTCAAATCATGCTTAAAGCACTGGTCTTTGACTACACGAGTTTAGAAGAGCAGATGAAAAAGCACAGATGATTCCTTTTGGAATTGCATCATCATTTAGAACTTTCTAAATAGATTCCTTTAAAATCCCCAGAGTTAAATCAGCTCTGCTCCGAGTACATATTGTCCCAATCTACAGAGTGTTAAAGTAACACTGAAGCCGAGTTAAAGTTAATGGGATAATTAAGCAAAGCATTAGTAAAGAAAACCCGCTGTTAACAATGCTGAAGATGAACAACTTCTGCTCAGGCTTTTAGACATGAAAACGTATCACATAATCCTCAACAGTGGTAACTCGGCTTCAGTGTTACTTTAACACTCTGTAGATTGGGACAATATGTACTCTGAGCAGAGTTGATTTAACTCTGGGGATTTTGCTGTATAGAATTGTTTAGAACATATAATTCTGAGAGGATAAAATGCCCATAAAGGAATCAAAAAGGAAATCTTTTAGGATAAACTTTTATAGCGCCATTAAATATTCCCTTTTTTTTTAGCAATACATTATTTCAATATAATAGAAGTAGATTTCCGAATAAATTCTAATTAAAATTGACAATATTCTATCATAATATTCTAGACCTTTAGAAATGTTAGTTAATCCATTTGATTCACATACGATTCTTATTTGATTTTTTAGGTTTGATGTCAAATTATATTATATTATATTATTTTTTAGTAGAAATTGTTTTTTTTCGAGATTATTCCAATATTATAGATTATCCCAATTTTTAAAAAGCAGATTTCTGAATAAATTGTAATTAAAATATCCTGCATTATATGATATGATATTATATTACATTCTTTTTTAGTAGAAATTGTTTTTTCAAGATTTTTCCAATATTATAGATTATCCCAATTTTAAAAAAGCAGATTTCTGAATAAGATGTAATTAAAATATCCTGCATTATATGATATGATATTATATGATTGAGGCCAAATTATATATGTATTATATTTATATTGTCTGTGTAGCAATGAATAGATACGTATTGTAATGTATTATAACTGTGGTTACAGTAATGAAATCATATAATGCATTATAAGGTGCATTACAAGGCATAATTAATGCATTAAAAATATTTTTATAATGCATTATATACAAAGGCTTTAAGTGTAGTGTTACCAAGTTCTGAATAAACATGACATATTATCTTCTATCAGAAGAGAATAATATTAGTTAATTTATATGATTCACATAAGAGTCTTATTATGTGATTCAATTAGGATTTATTCCAAATTCTAACAAAATTCCAGTAGGAATCCTCAGTAGATTCCATAAGAATGGCTTGACTGCGGTGGAAAAGAAAGTAAATCAAAATGGGTGAACTGATATCTGCATATATGCTGAGATCTGTTTATACAAACACACACACAAACACAGAATTTTTTTTCAGCTGAATCTCTCACATGAAGCAGACACACCCTGACGAACATTACCAATCAAGCATCCTTTTCCTTAAGTATCAAGACAGGCGTTACCTAGCAACCTCTGCAGTGATCACACCCTAGAAACCCTATGCCTGCAACAGTTGCCAAGCAACCATCTCCAAGCAATCATCCCTGTAATCCCATTTGGGTTGCTCCTGTCCTGTTTCTGAATATATTCTCTGCTCTGACTGCAGGACATGCCCTATTCCAAATCCCAGTTTAAGAAATGTGCCGTCATCGGGAACGGCGGCATCATCAAAACAAGCAAATGTGGACGAGAGATTGATGCAGCTGACTTTGTCTTCCGGTAAAATACTGTTGTGTGTGTTTCTCTCTTTAGACAACATGGGAATATATAGAGGGATCTGCTAAACGTCATGTCAAATCTCTCTTTCAGATGTAATATTCCTCCCATCTCAGATATGTACAGTGAAGATGTGGGATCTAAGACTGACCTTGTTACAGTAAATCCCAGCATTATTACTGAGAGGTACACACACACACACACACATACACACACACATATAAATATATAAAAATATTTCATATAGGATAACATAACAGGATTTGCTCATATTTTAAATACCAGTGTCTGGGTGAATCTCACAAAAGCATGTCCATGTTTACATATATATAAATTAAATGATTATTTAAAAAGGCTTAATTTTCTGTATGCAAAATATTAATTAATTCATTCTTATTAATTAATTAATTTTAAGTTTTGGCCAATATTTACCCTCAGTGATCACTACAGTAATGTGTCTGATAGTTTTACCTAGTGTTTTTTTTTTTTAATTCTGATTACATCCTGATAATTCTTGTTATTCTAATATAAAAATGTTACTGTAATTTGTATGTATGTATGTATGTATTTATTTACTTTTTTTATGTATATAAATCAGCATAACTTACAGGTAGCACAACAAATATTACCATGATAAATATAAATACTTTATGATTTAATTAATATATACAGTGGGGCAAAAAAGTATTTAGTCAGCCACCAATTGTGCAAGTTCTCCCACTTAAAAAGATGAGAGTAAGAGTTTGAGGAGGAAATGTGTTCAAATAAGCTTAATTTAAAATAAATTCAAATTAAAAAGTAATAAATAATATTTTTAAAAAGCTTCATTTTATTTAAGCAAAATATTAATTAATTTATGAATTATTAATTTAATATACATATATGAATAGAATAATAATAAACATATATTAATTAATATATTCAATTATATTATTATTAAGAACAAAAACAACAACAACAATAATAAAAATTATTGTTATTATTATTACAGGTCCATCTAATAAATGTCTGCTTCATGCAGAAATACCTATAAATGCTAATGGGATCATTTTGCGTACATACAGTTTGCATTCCTGTAACACAACCATTGAGACACTCGTTTTCTCTCTCTATTTGGACCAGGTTTCAAAAGTTGGAGAAATGGAGAAAGCCATTTTACGACGTTCTGCGGCATTACGAGAACTCCTCAGTGGTTTTGCCGGCGTTCTATAACACACGGAACACAGACGTGTCGTTCCGCGTGAAGTACATGCTGGATGACTTCGAGTCAGCCCGTGGCGTGTTCTTCTTCCACCCGCAGTACCTGCTGAATGTGCAGCGCTTCTGGGCCGTGCAGGGCGTCCGCGCCAAACGCCTCAGCAGCGGCCTGATGCTGGTCACCGCGGCCATGGAGTTATGCGAACAAGTGCATCTCTACGGCTTCTGGGCATTTCCCATGAACCCCTCCGGAATCTTCATAACACACCATTACTATGACAATGTCAAGCCCCGCCCCGGTTTCCACGCCATGCCGTATGAGATCTTCAACTTCATGCACATGCATGCTCGCGGCATCGTGCACGTGCACACGGGCCCCTGCAGGTGAAATGTCCAAGCGTCTCTGCAATCTGATTGGTCCGTTTTGTAGAGCTCCTCCCATTCACTGGCGCTACGGAACTCAGACTTATGTGCGTGTGCGCGAAACGCTGCCTTAAAGGCCAGGCATTTTATTACTACGTGTTTTTTCAATATCGTGTCGGGACAGTTGCAAAACGGTATGTGTTTCCTGTTTGGTGATTTTCCGTAATGGTGTCGTATTTGTGTATCAGAGCAAATATCACGTTTTAAACTTTGCGAGGAGGCGCCAAACCAGGCACAATGCAATAGAACGCAACAGATGAGTTCTGGAAGTAAAAACTTTTTAATGATAAACCTTTTAAGACTGACCTGTTGTGAACTCTGTGGTTATTCATCGATGGTAAATGCTTTTGCTGAAGCCATCTGTTCGCATTAATTCAACGTATTTTTAAAATAATAATGTTTAAAGGTACAGTCATTTTTTTGACTGTACTAAAGCATAAAAATACCATAATATGTTTGCAGACATTTAGGAAACATGCTAAGTTCACATACGTGTTTCTCTGAAAATGCTACAGCCAACAGCCTACAGCTTTGAAATGTGTGTTCTGTGTCAGAATATCTGTTTTTGTTTTGGTCTGTGTGATTCCAGCCACCGCCAGTTTAACCAATAGTATTTCACCACCCTGGATTGCCAGTTGGCAGAAAACACAGCATGTTGTAGCAATGGAAGCCAGCAAACGAACTGGGTCAGAGATCGCAGATCCCAACCTAAAAAGCCTCGGTATTCATCTGAAAAGCTCTATGACCAGAGGAATATTAAAACGCAGATAAATCAACTCGTCAACTCACTCGCCACCTTCCATTGTTAATTGCACTCGTTCTTGTTGAGAGTCCTCAATCTGGCAACCCGCTGAGCGTCCAGCATCTCTCCGGTATTTAGAATTTGGACTGCAGTACCCATTGCAGCCACAAGCTGTCAGTATTACAGACTACACCTTTAATAGCTGAATTCGTTGTGAAAATCTAGCTCCCCCCACTCCCAAAGAACTACGAATGATGTAGTCTGTCAACCTACACGTGTGTGTATATCATAGACTGTATAAAAACATGGACGTCGTGTCCGTGACGTCACCCGTAAGTTCCTGAAGAGCGTTTTTGAAGCTCAAAGTCAAGTCAAGTCACCTTTATTTATATAGCGCTTTTAACAATACAGATTGTGACAAAGCAACTGAACAGCATTGATTAGGAAAATAGTGTCAATAATGCAAAATGACAATAGTAAACACTAATTTTTCAGTTAAAGACAGTTCATAATTGAATTCAGTGATGTCAACATCCAGCTCAGTTTAAATAGTATCTTTGCAATCATGTCAACGATATCGCTGGAAATGAAGTGTCCCTAACTAAGCAAGCCAGAGGCGACAGCGGCAAGGAACCAAAACTCCATCGGTGACAGAATGGAGAAAAAACCTTGGGAGAAACCAGGCTCAGTCGGGGGGCCAGTTCTCCTCTGACCAGACGAATCAAAGTGGGCGGAGCTGGCCGTCGCCATCTTGGTAGCGCGTCACCGCGCGTCACTCCCGGATAATCGAAAATAGGCAAAGAGGCGGGAGCTTGTTGCTGAAACCACGCCCATCTAGCTCAACGGTGGTGGCAATCCACCTGTCACTCAAGTGGCCACGCCCTTATTGCATTTTTTCATTTGAAAGTATTACAACTGATCCTAAACTAGCTCACAGCAAAATTAATATTAACCTCACAGAAAACACTCAAAACAACACTCAACCACTCCTAACCACTCACAAGATGTAGACCGATTCTGTCCAGATCTTAAATAAACAATGTCAAGATTATCCATTATAAATTTAAGTGGATTTATTATGGTATTCATTGTGTGTTATACGTAATCATACTCTTAAAAGTTATAACCACAAATGCGTAAGTATTATAATGTATTATAAATGTTATGATTATTTAGGAGATGATACAACATATTATTAAGCTTTTTTATAGTGCTTTATGCATTAATTATAATGCCTTAAGAAAACTCTTATAATGTATTATAAACACAGGCTTCATAGAAAGTGTTACCGGATTGACAAACAATTGAGGAAAGAAGAGAGAACATTCAGTTTGTGGGTTTTGCTCTTATATGCTTCAATTTGGAGTTTGGAGTTAGATGTCAGTAACATGATTATTCTGTTTGGTTCTCTCTCTCTCTCTACAACCCCAACAGTGCATACGTGTTAAATCAGAAATATATATTACAGAGTTAAACATGTTAAAGCAAATTTTTCTTATTTAAGTCTCCCCTTTGGGTTAAACTGTTCTGGAACAGTGTTGTAAATCCAACTTAACCACTGATTTGTAGTCGTGTCCTCTTTAGGAAGACCAAACAAAGTAGTTTTGCTTTCACAACAAAAAACACGGCGGCCTAGTGTGAGCGGAAGCCGCGGCTTAGCGTGCGCTGAGGCCGGGCTAGCGTGAGCTGAGGCGGCGGGGTTGAGAACGGTGCGCCCGGCAGATTCGACGAAGGAGCGGCAACCACATGTGACGACCCCGGGCTGGACTCCGCCTCGTCCACGGTGAAAGCCGATCCGGCGATCCACAGCGTGAAGTTGATGTGTTTCCTCAGCGCCCAGCACGGATCAGCTCTAGGCATGACGAAGCGGATATCGTCCTCTTTTGGAAGGCCAAACAAAGTAGTTTCGCTTTCACAATGAAACACACTGCATCTCCACAACATGGCGGCGGCAGCAACAATACTACAGCGAGAATAAAAGTCACACCTCCTTTCTTTGCGTGAACATTTGTGCGGTGTTATGCAAATCTTCCCACATCGTGACGTAGACATGTGGGGGCATGTTAGAACGAGCCGTTTTAGGTAGGCGTGGTTGACTCTTAACTTTTATAAAGAATATCTCTGGATTTCAGATCGTAATGTATATCCAGGTCAACATAAACATGTTTGAAGGATCGATCCTGAGAATCTTAAAAAAAATCTACTTTGCTTTAAGATGTGAAGAGCCAGTGCTGCCTCTCTGTGTGTATTTGGCCACTCTGAGCTTATTTTAAGGGTTTGGGGTTGATGGAGCTTCCTCTGTGTCTGGGTGGGTCCACCTCAGGCTGCACTCCTGCTGCCGCTGACATATCTGTGGGGTTTATTAAGAGAATGACAAGTCTATCAGGCCCCATAAACAGGCTCTCACGGGCGGTAGATCTTTTGTTACTTTCAGGGACGGGATCATCAATCTTGCCGGCGCTCTGCTCTCTTGAGTTGTTGATGGCAAACACAGATTCTTCCCACTCCCTCTACTCTCCTCCTCGCTTCAGCTGGTCTCTCGCGTTGAATTCGACAGATATGACTGTCTCGGCAGTGGTGGAGCTCAATGACTTGACGGGCCACCGGCCACCGAAAGGTGGAAGCTTGGGAAAATGCAATATGTTGATATCGTCCTCTTTTGGAAGACCAAACAAAGTAGTTTCACATTCACAACGAAGCACACAGCGTCTTCACAACATTGCGGCAGCGGCAACAATACTACAGTGAGAATAAAAGTTACGCCTTCTTTCTTTGCGTGAACATTTGGGCGGCGTTATGCAAATCTTCCCACATCGTGACGTAGACATGTGGGGGCGTGATAGAACGAGCCGTTTTAGGTAGGTGTGGTTGACTCTTAACTTTTATAAAGAATATCTCTTTGGATTTGAGACTTTAGTCTTTGCAACTTTACAGATCTTCTTTATGCACCAAGAGCTTGTAACACTCCAAAGAGAAAGGACAAATTTAAATCGCATCATATGACCCCTTTAATTGGTGGAACATTCTACAAGCTTCCATTCTATAATTCAGTGGTGTAATTTCTTTGTTACTTTGAAAATGTATTTTTACAGTGAAATGGACACTGGATTTATTCTAAATGCATAATTTAACCATTACAGCATCTGAAAAATATTCAGTTTCCTTGTAATGAATCTCAGCATAGTTCACCTAAAAATTAAAATTCATTACTCAGTATCAGTATATATGAATCAGAGAACGAATCGTTCATTTGAGTCGGTTCTTTTCAATGATCCGGTTTACAAATCAGACTGGACACAAACAGGAGGGTCAGATGTAAGTATATTAGCTGGTCTGACCCGTTTGTTCTCTCTACAACAGGCTGTTTAGTGAAGAGTGAATTATTTAACATGTTGTGTGTTATATGTGTGTGTATTATGACAGCGCTTTGTCATACCTCCGCCTCCTGGTCAGTGATAGTAAGACTACAGTAGCCTATGTGCCCACAAGATGTCTCTACATTTGCAAACTAAAATAAGTTGAATGAAAAAGAAAGAAATGGTGAGTTATCTTCTTTCAGATGAATAGGGATGATGGTTTGTTGTGGTACAGGGTCAGGACTGCAAATGTCCTAAATACAAGCATATATAATCCTGACAAACACGCACCATCTTTGCTGTCTGAGGTAATGTGTGTGCGTCTGAGGGAGAGATAAGAACGTGTGTATGCGAGAGATATGCTGTGTAAATGAGCTGGTGTGTGATCCTGTGTTTATCAGATGATAGCAGTATCAGGTGTTAGTAATACAGCTAATGGCAGGAGTTAGAATTAACATGTCGTCTCAAGAGAATTTCTTATGGGTTCAAATTGTTATTCACTCACTTCAGAATCAGACAAAGACTAAACCAATCTATACACACCTAGGTTAGTAATATCCTCGCACAAAAATTAGCAGTAGTATTAGTTTTCTCCTGTCAGTACAATTCTGCATTTGATTTGTACATACCTGTATGTGTATAATTTCTCATATTGTCTATAGATAATGATTGGTAAATAAATAAATATAAATATTTAATGTCTGAAAATAACAGACCTATCTGTAATGTTTTGCTATGTATGTATGCTATAATTTCTCAGCAGAAATGTTTATAAATGTATGGGTGTCTTGGAGTTATTTTCTAACTTTATAGGCATTATTGCAAATTTGCTGAAATTTGCTGAAATGAAATGACAAAAATCTTCAAATTAATTATATTATACATACATACATACATAGGCTACACACACACACATATATATATATATATATATATAGGCTAGTGAAAACACTAGCAGTGCCTGCAGAAAAAAAACACCTTACATAGGTGTTTATAGGGTGGACTATGACTTGACAACTACTCAGAACTCCTTAGCGACTATCCAGAACACATTAGCAATGCCCTGGCAACCACTCACAACCCTCTAACATTGTAAAAGTGAGTTTTGAACAGTCGAGAAAATGTAAAAATAGGTCTTTATGAGCTGTTCTTTGTGTTTATTTTCACACACAGGTGTTTTAGAGCGACTTCTTCCACTTGCGTTTTCAGCCAGAAGGCAATTTGCCTAAATTAGGAGCCCGATCTTCTTTATTGCCTAGGTTGGGTAAAGCATGTTAAATAGTTTGACCATGTTAATCCAGTGGCACTAACTTATTTATTTGTGTTAATGAAATCACTGTTAATTATTCACAAGTGTTAGTGAAGCATCTTTAATTATCTGTTCTGTAAGACTCTCTATTGGTGTATCTTCTTTCTCTCTCTCTCTGTCTGTCTGTCTCTTTCTTTGTTATAGTCTCTCTTTCTTTTTCACCCCATTACTTTTTTCTATTGATGTGCCTTTTGAATTGGACAATGCACATAAATGAGCTTTTATTTCCTTTGATGTTGTGTTTATGTATTTTTATAAACATATGCCATATATAAGTTTGTGTGCGCATATAAATGTACGCCGTGCTTTAGTAAAGCGATCCCCAGACCATGAATAATGAATGCTGTGAGGCCCAGCCCCCATCTCTCTCGCTGTCCTCTCCGTTTTCATTTGCTTTCTCTCACAGATCATGTGACCACACTGAGCATAGTAATTATTCATGAGCTCTGTGCCGCACCGCGAGACCTGCGCGAGAGAGCCTCCGGCTCCGAGCTGAGGCCCCGCTCCAGCTGCACGCAGGGGCCCATCGGCTGGCGCGGGTCAGACGGCGACACCTTACACCGCAGACGGCGAGGAAACACTCACCCTAACCCCGCCACACTCCGGATGAATAAAAGATGCCCACAAAAGAGAAAAAACCAACAGAAACCGAAGATAGGGATGACGAAGGAGAGGAGAAGGAGCCAACGGCAAAAGAAAAGAGTAAGAGGGACGCAAAGACAAGACAGAAGAGCTCCGAGGAGAAGATAGAGAGTGCTGAGACACCTACAGAGAAGAGACAAAAGAGTGAATCTGTGAAAGAGAAAAAGAAAAAGAAGAAAAAAGAAGATGTTGAGGTGACAGAGAATGACAAAGGGACGGATGAGCAGAACAACAATGAGCCCATCAGCAAAGAAAAATGGACCTCAAACGAGGAACGGGGGGTAAGGAAAGAGAAGAAAAAGAAGAGTAAACCATCTGAAAGCAAAGAAAGACAAGAAGACATGGGGTCCAAGGAGAAAAAGAGCAAAGACGGCAAGAAAAAGAAGAAAAAGTCGGCCGAGGAGGAGGAGGAGGATGAGGATGCTGTGCAGGAGGAGGCGGAGGAAGAGGAGGATAAGAAGAAGAAGAAAAAGGATAAAAAGAAAAAGAAGGGTTCTGACAGCGACGAGGAAAAGAAAGCAAAGAAAGGGAAGAAGTCAAAGGTCAAACAGGTGGATTATGCTGAGGTCTACCAGGAAGAGCTGCTGAGCTATCACACGGAGGAATCGGATGATCAAGAAGATGAATTCAACAAAAAGAAAGGTAGACTCTGGAAGAGGATTCCCCTTCTGTTCTTCTTTTTATTCTTATCAGTCTTTATAAAGAGAAAACTAGATCATCTGAGGTTTTCCCAAACCATTTTGTCAGATTTTAAGGCATTTATTTATTTGAAAGGATAGTTTGCTCGAGGAAGTCATCATTTATACTCACCCTCATGTTCCTCCAAACATTATGGTTTACTGGGAGAGAATGTTATGCAAGACATGCAAGTAACCATGACCTTTGAGCTTCATGAAGGACAAAAAAACAGAAAAGCACCATAAACGTAGTCAATACTGAAATTTCAGAACTTGGAGAAGATTATCAATGATTGACTTTTTTCTTACACAAAGCTATCATACGCCTTCTGAATGAATTCAGTGCAAACGTCATATGGACTACTTCTATTGTGCTTTTGTAGTTCTTTTTGTAGCTTGGCAGCCATGGTTGATGTTAATTATCCTCCGAAATATCTCTTTTTGTTGTTCCTTATTGGCATTGATGGTTCCATGAATAACTTTTAATATTCATAGAACCTTTCCAGTGCAGTTCTGGAAATAGTGAAAAAGGTTCTTCAGATTTTTAAAGTGTTCTTCAGACTAAGAAAAAATGTCTCTGGGGAACCAAAAATGGTTCTATGATATTGCTGTGAAAACCCTATTTGGAAGCTTTTTTCTTTGTAGAGAGATGCAGGTTTGGAACAACGTGAGGGTGAATAAGTGACAGAATTGTCATTTGTTAATGAACCATCCTTTTAAATGAGCAAACTGCATTTGGAGACTTGCTTAAATGTGGAGCCACAGCACAAACTGTCTGTCTTCTGGGGATGAACTGTCTTTCTCTCTCTCTTACTGTGTCCGTCTCTTTCTCTGCTTTCACTCTCAGTCAGGCACCCCCCTTCTCTTGGTTTCTCACAGGTTGGATTTCTTTTAACCCTGGAACACCTCTTATTTGATTACTTGAATGTTGGAGGTTGAACAACGAAAGTAGAAATAGACGAAGGACAAATGGAGACAGAAAGGTTCTTGAATGAAGTTACTATACACTTTTAAAATAAAGTTTTTTTTATTGGCATCAGTGGTTCCCTGAAGAACGTTCAACATCCATAAAACCAAAAATACTATTTAGATGTTTAAATTGTTCTTCACATAAAAAAAGACTTCTTTTAAGAACTTTCAACTGAAAGGTTCTTTGAGGAACCAAATAAATGGTTCTTCTATGGCATCGCTGTGAAACCAGCCTTTTGGAACCTTTATTTTTAAGAGTGAATGGAGATTAAAAATGTTCTAGTTGTTCTGCTTGCAATAATCCTAATTGGAATTTTATGTTTCAGAGTGTCAGTATCTGATTTGCAGTCAAATTCTGATCGTTCCATTAACGTCCAGTCAGAGAACCTTCCGGATTTCACATTGGCAAGCAACTCTAGAGGTCTCTGATTGGCACAGCAGAGGCGTGTCTGGATTGACTGATTATTACGGTGTCCTGGCAGCAGGCTATCATGAGAGAACAGCGGCGGGCAATGGGCCAATAGTGGATTTGAATCAGACGGGCACCTCTCTATGGCCTGAAACATTATACTCTAATCGGCCTTTTCATGGAACCATCAAAACCTCATTCAGCACGATGGACGGCATGCTGTCAGGTTCAGTCGGGCGTAGCACGTCGGGTTGAGGTTATCGCTTAGCACCGATACAGGGGTACCTTACCCTGGCTGAATCAAAAGCTGATCAAAAATGTAAAAACCTGCAAAGCTGGTTTATGATCATTATGATCTGATTGCAGTATATATCTATAAATTCTATAAATCCATTGTGCTGAATGAGGTTCTGAAGTTTCCATAAAATTTCATCATTTACTGTTTTAAATAATCATATAGCATATTTTAATGTTTCGATGAAATTTTTTTGTTTATATATATATATATATATATATATATATATATACCGTTTGACCAATTCATAATTCATTAATAGAGTTCACATCAGAAGCGAACCCGAGTTGCGCACCCGAGTTCAGAAAACAGCGTTCACATTATCCAAACGAACCGAACTGTGACGTCAAACAAACCCGGGTGTGCACCAAAAGTGCTAGTGTGAAAGCACCCTAAAAGAAACTTAACATGTTCCAAATGAACCCTGTTTGAACGTTACTTCTAGACACACTGCTCCTCAGGTTCAGACATGCATTTGGTTGTCCCAGGGTCTTGCAGAGGTTCAGAGAAAGGTAGAGGTCACGTGGTGAGCATCAGGGCTATGTCGTACTCTCACTCCATTAACATGGCTAAGTTACAGAGATATTGCTTACAGCAATGCATCTTATACAAACGTGGGTGAGCTTAGAATAGCAGGTTGTTGGGTTACACAGGATATACCTGAGCACTACGTATCTGAGACTACAGCCCTTCTTATGTCATTCAAATGAAAACAAGATGCTTTCTTTTGTGGAGAGTCAGGTATAATTGGTTTACAGAATGCTCTCTTTCTCAGTGTACGAGGTGGTGACCATCACAGGGGATGTTAAAGGCGCTGGGACTGATGCTAATGTATTTGTCACCATGTATGGAGAGTTTGGAGTGACTCCCAAAGTTCACCTGGCCAGCAAGTAAGTTAAGCTTCAAATCTGCATCTCTACATGGCGATGTTAATTTGAAAGGGTTTCCAGATGCACATTGACATGCACAAATCTGTTCCCTGAAAATGATCATTTGTCATTATTAGTATTAGTATTATCAGTATTCAAGGAATAGTTCACCCAGTAATGAAAATTTGTTGAAAATGTACTCTCAGGCCATCCAAGATGTAGATGAGTTTGTTTCTTCATCAGAACAGATTTGGAGAAATGTAGCATTACATCACTTTCTCCCCAATGGATCCTCTGCAGTGAATGGGTGCCGTCAAAATGAGAGTCTAAACAGATGATAAAAACATCACCGTAATCCACAAGTTTTGACTGTCTTGTGAAGTGAAAAGCTGCATGTTTTGTAAGAAATCTATTTATTAAGAATATTCCATTCCATTATATTGCTTTCTCCAGTGAAAAAAAGTTGTCTGAATTAGGAGAGAAATATGCACAGATCAAGCACCGTTTACAAGTGAAAAACAGTTCTAAACAAATATGTTGATGAATTTTGATGTGAGAGGACAGCAGGATGTGGACTTTTTCACTGGAGGAACCGTTATTATGGATTATGGACTTTTTGGCTGGAAGCGACAGTTTCAAGTTAAATCACTATAATGATAGATTTGTTTCTTACAAACATGCAGCTTTACTCCTCTCAAGATATTAATTGATGGACTGGAGTGGTGTGGATTACTTGTGGTGTTTTTATCAGCTGTTTGGACTCTCATTCTGACGGCACCCATTCACTGCAGAGGATCCATTGCTATGTGATGCTACATCCCTCCAAATCTGTTCCCATGAAAAATCAAACTCATCTATATTTAGGCTGGCCTGAGGGTGAGTAAACATTCAGCAAATTTGACATTTTTGGGTGCAGATTATTGGAGTACATTTTACAAGAAAATACTGTTTTAGTCGATCCAGAATTTCATGTTTAATTCAATGTGTTACTTACCATTTCTTAGTAATTATTTGTTATTATCACTAGTGATTTCTGAGCGAAAATTGTTTCAAAGGAAATCTACACAACTTTATTTTTTTTCAGGGTAGTGCAAAACTAGAAATGTCTGTGGATTTTGAAAGGAGAGTGCGTATATGCCATGTTAATTGTTTAATTCTGTATTCTTCTCTAATCTACAGCACAGAAAAGAGGTATAACTTTAACATGGCCACCTCATCTGCTCGTGTGTGGCCGTGCATTGCTTTTTGCACACAGTGCTGTACAAGAGAACATCCTGTGTGCTTTGACCATGACATTCACACCATCACATCTTTGGGAAATAGATATTGTTTTCTTAGTCGGGCTATACGATTATTCATGAAATGAATTATTCATGACATGAGTTTTAATCACGCTTGGCTCATCCATCACACACAATGCCATGGTGAAGCACAGGATCTGCTCTCCTCTGTACAGCATCACCACGGACATTCATCTGAAGGTGAAGAGATTCATTTGACTTGCTCATTGAACCAATGAGAGGGTACAGTCATATGACATCACTTCCTTTTGTGGTCTTACACATCTGATCACGCCAAACAGGTAGGCTACTCATAGAAATCTCCACACATACGTAATGTCCCATGTATGTGTGTTGATTTTTTTATGAGTACAAAGAGAGACCCCTCAAAATTCTTCCTATACAGTAATCGATCGTCCTGATCAGTGCTGAAATGATTCAGAAATGAATTACTAATAGGAGAGTTTTTACTTGCTCAGATGAATGTCCAAATGGTTAATGTTGCATAATGACTCATAAAACATTACAAATGCAGTAAAAAGGCCAGAAATGGAAATCAGATGAAGCTTCAGAAAAGTTTAGAAGAAAATTGCACAGTGATGATGAACAATTAATTATATTCATAAATCATTTGGAAGCTTAGTTTGTATGCCTCCAAATGTATGATTTTCAACCTATTTGAGAAATGTGTTTGGGTAGTCGGGTGCATCTCACGAAACTTGTCAAGAACATGTCGTTAAATTTCACCCCAATGGACCCTTTTCACATTTCCAGGGGTTCTCAGAAGTGGAAGCTTTTATTTTTAAGATTTTGTACATTGACAATTTTCATGACATGTTTTCACGGGATTCATCCAGTCAGCAAAAGACTCATTTATTAGGTAGATCTGTTCAGTAACTCCTCCTCAGAGAGTTTCAGCAGAGTAGAATAGAAGTGGTTTTGGACTTTAATTCTTTCCGGCAGTCAGAATGCAACATTTTGGAATCGAGATGATATTTAACAGAATCTCTGAATCTGTCTAAATGTCATCATTTCCAAAGTTTGCTGGTGCGTTTTCAGCGTGCTTATCTCAGGTGAGATGTGTGTTGGTTTCACCGCATCGGTAAGTCCGTGTGTATGTGTGTGAGACATTTGGCAGTGTGAGTGGATGTGTAATTCATACTGGGTGATTTTTAATTCATGCATATCGCATTTTGATTAGAGAGATGCTTTTACCGAAGCCAACGCAAGAGACTGTAGAGCGATATGTGGATCATTGACAGATGGTTCTTTCTCATAAACGCACACTTCTGCATAGTAATTTCCAGATGTTGGTGCATTAGAACGTTAGAAGCTTGATTGAGTATCACAGTAAATCATTTATTTTTGAGTCTATTCACAGGTTTATTTCTATTCATTTTAGGAGCAGAACAGCCTTTGAAAAGAACAAGACTGACGTCTTTCGGATCAAAACGCACAATGTTGGACCAATAAAGAAAATTAGGTACAAATACGTCTGTATACATCGAAGAGTAACTACCTTAAAGGCACATCTTAAAATTTAGAACGATATATGTCTTGTGATGTACTTCCTGTAATGCAGAATCGAGCATGACAGCACTGGCATGAGTGCCAGTTGGTTCCTGGACCGGGTCATCGTGACTGACATGAACAGGCCACACCTCCGATTCTTTTACGCCTGCAACAATTGGCTGAGCAGAGACGAGGGGGACGGACTTACTGTCCGATATCTGTTGGGTAGCCTGAACCCCATGGACATCCCAAAACGTATGTTGTGACCTTTTATTTACAATACATGCTTGCAAAACAGAGAGCAAATAAAAAAATCCATTATTTTATTTTATTAAATTTTATTTAATTTTACCTGAAAAATGTGCCACAAATCTAGTCAAAACTTCTTTTTTTTTTTGTTAGACAAATTTCTTGCCAGTTATAAAACATGATTTTAGGTTAAACCGTTTTTATTTAATTTAATTTTATTTAATTTTACCTGAAAAATGTGCCACAAATCTAGTCAAAACGTTTTAATTTTTTTATAGACAAATTTATTGCAAGTTATAAACCATGATTTTAGGTTAAACTGTTATTTTATTTTATTTTATTTTACGTGAAAATGTGCCACAAATCTAGTCAAAACTTTTTTTTTTTAGACTAATTTCTTGCAAGTTATAAAACATGATTTAAACTGTTATTTTATTTTATTTTATTTTTATTTATTTCTTTGCCATCTGGTCAAACTTTGATTTCCTTGAACATTTTTTAATTAGACACATATTTTTTACAATGATTAAACATTTTGCATTAGACATTAAAATTCTGTCATTATGTATTTGTCCTCAATAGGTTCCAAACCCATGTCACTTTCTTTCTTTCCTTCTTTCTTTCTTCTGTGAAACACAGTCCTTAGTCAGCCCATATACGACAGACCAGTCAGTCAGTATACATACACACATTAACACTACATAAATAACACATGTGCATTGCATGACAAACTGTCATTTTCCCATTGAGACCTTTAGCATAGGTAAAGTATCTCAAACAAGATATTACAACTCTCAAATAAAAACACTACTAATAAAAAATGCCATATAATCTACAGATATACTTCACATCTTGCTCCATATAAACCATAGATAACATCACATAGGTCATGTGATCATGATCATAGATGATGCATGCATACAAAGCATCACCAGACTCAGGTTGCATACAAAGGATTAGGAGACATTTAGTAGTAGAGTAGAGTTTCAGACGGGGATCACAATATCACCAGTCCAACATTCCCAGAGACCACAGACAATATAACATTACATTCCACAAATAGGAGAAAGACTAGATCTACCAGCTGTTTCTGAGAAAGAGCTCACTGGTGGTTTTTGATGCTCCATGGTTTTTCAAAAAATACCATGGTGGAATGATAGTCAATGCCCAAAAATACGTGGTGCATGCAAAAAAATTATGGTAACATGTTTTGTCTTATATACTGTATGTGTTAATGTGTGTGTCTGTTCATATATTGCAGAGAACAAGTACATAGCCAGTGTCTTCACAATGGATGCTAAAGGCAGTGGGACCGACGCTGATGTCTACCTCAGTGTTTTCGGCGAGTTTGGGGATACAGGTCACTAAAATCAGTCTGTGTTTTTGTGTGTGTTATTTTATGTTGCAAAAAACACACAAAAGGTCAAACTTTAATTGCCTAGAACCAGTGTTGCCAATTTAGCTACTTTGTAGCTAGATTTAGCGACTCCCCCTCCCCCTTTGAGACTTTTTTCAAAAGTTAAGGGACAAATATAGCAACTTCTTGGACAAACCTTATCTTAAGTTCTCATTTTGCCAACTGATCTACGTTCACCTTTATATAGATCAGCGAATTTGACATTATGAGGTCATCTAGTGACATTTAGCTACCAGTTTTAGCTACTTTCAATTGAAAGCAGTTGGCAACACTGCCTAGAATTTTTTTTATTATTATTAGACATATTTTCATATTACAATTATAAAACATGCTTTTATGTTAAACCGTGAGACTATTTTATTTTATTACAATAAATTTTTTAATTAAACATACAGTATTTCTTACAATTACAACACACATATTATTTTATTTGAACTTATTTATTTATTTTTTAATTAGACACATTTTTTTACACTTTCAGTACTAAAAACAGTCAATGTTTCTAAGTGTATGTGTTAGTTTTGTTAGTTTTTACTTGTTGTGATGACTGCAGGAGAACGAAAACTGGCCAGTGATGGAAAAGACAATTTTGAGCGCGGTAATGAAGACAAATTCACCATCGAAGCACCAAATCTTGGCAGACTTCGAAAAATCACCATCGGACACAATAACAAGGGGTCTTCTGCTGGCTGGGCATGTGATAAAGTACACAAACGCACTTTTCATATCTTCATGAAGAATATATTTGTCTCTGTCCTCTGTTATTAATATGATGTCTTTGTGTTATGGTGATGTGATTTAGGTTGTAGTAGATGACATGGGGAATAAGGAGGTTTATGATTTTCCTGTCAATGCTTGGTTTGACATCTCAGAAGGGGATGGCAAAATACAAAGAGATGTGCTTGCCGGAGCCACGCAGCCAATGTGTAAGAGCAAACGTGTGTGTTTGTATGTTAGGATAAGTGCATCTGATTATAACTGACCTGGATTTGTTTGTTTGTTTATGTGCGTGTAGCGATTGTGTATAACGTACAGGTGATGACGGGTGATATTCGTGGAGCCGGCACTAACTCTAAGATCCACTTTGTCATGCACGGTCGTAAAGGAATTAAGAACAGCGGTAAGTTGTTCCTGGAGGGCGGCACGTTTGAGCGCGCTCAGATCGACATCTTTAACGTCGAGCTGCTGGAGCTGCTCAGCCCGCTCAGCAGAGTCACAATCGGACACGACAACGCTGGGATCAGCTGCGGCTGGTATTGCGAAAAGGTGCGTGCCAGGGCTATAAGGTGCTTTGAAGCTTTCATTACTTATTCATACATACAGCGTGTGATCTGTCGCTCTCTTTCTCTCACAGGTGACGGTATACTGCCCGTTCACAGGTTTAGAGCAGGTATTTCCCTGCGGCAGGTGGTTGGATGAAGATGAGGGTGATGGACTAGTGGAGCGAGAACTGTATGAGATGGTCTCACTCAGACAGAAAAAGCAAAAGAGTGAGCAAATTATCAAACTCTTCCCCTGTCGAAGCAATCAGGGGTAAAGTTCACTAAACATGCTGTATTGCAGTGTAAAGACCTGCATCTTATTCGCTAACCACCTACAATCCAGTGCAACTTGACACTAAATGTGACCCTGGACCACAAAAAAGAAATAAGGTTCAATTTTTTAAAATTGAGATTTATAAATCAGATGGAAGCTGAATAAATAAGCTTTCCATTGATGTATGGTTTGTTATGATAGGACAATATTTGGCCGAGATACAACTATTTGAAAATCTGGAATCTGAGGGTGCAAAAAAATCAAAATACTGAGAAAATCACCTTTAAAGTTGTCCAAATGAAGTTCTTAGTAATGCATATTACCAATCAAAAATTAAGTTTTGATATATTTACAGTAGGACATTTACAAAATATCTTCATGGAACATGATCTTTACTTAATATCCTAATGATTTTTGGCATAAAATAAAAATCAATAATTTTGACCCATACAATGTATTTTTGGCTATTGCTACAAATATACCCCAGCGACTTAAGACTGCTTTAAGACTGGTGCAGGGTCACATATGTGCTGTGTTGTGTTTAAGCTAAATTTAAAAGTTATTGTCATTCTTTTAGTTGATGCAAAAATAGTAAAATCAATTGTGAAATAAAATTAGATTCATTAAAAAAAATGTATGATAAATAATGTTCATTAAAAAGTAAATCAATAATAAAATAAAATAATTTTATAAAATGTGTTAACATCAATATTAAAATAAAATTATATTCCTAAAAATAATCAAATTTACAATTAAATAAAGGTATGTTCATAACAAATAATAAAATAAATTATATGAATGAAAATAACATTAATGATAAAATGTATAAAAATAATAAAATCAGTGATAAACATTTTATTATATTCATAAAAATAACATCAATAATAAAATACAATTATATTCATTATTAATGATGAAATCAATAATAAAATAAAAATAATATTCATAAAATAATAACAACAATTATATTAATAAAATAGTAACATCAATAATAAAATAGTTACCTTCATAAAAAATAATAAAATGAGTATTAAAATTAAATTATATTCATAGAAATAACAACATTAATGATACATTTATCTTAATAAAAATAATAACATCAATAATAAAATGAAATTCTAATCTCAAAAAATGATAACATTTAAAAGTAATATTGAATTGACTCTTACACCGTCAAGACACACAAATTGATCTTTTCTGCATGTTTCTCAGAATTCCCCTGGTCTCTGTGGATCTGGACGTCTGAGATTAAAGGTGCAGGCACAGATGCCCAGGTGTTCCTGCAGGTGTACGGAGAGAAGGGCAAGAGCGACGAGATGAAACTCGAGAGCAAATCGGACAGTTTTGAACAGGGACAGTGCGACAAGTTCATTGTATGTCTGTGTGTGTTTTTATCGTTGTGTCTCGTTCTATAAATATACAGTGGTCCCAAAACATATTTGTAAACTAAGTGTCAGTTTATCTGTGTCATTACAGTAGATATATCAGTTGATAAGTTTGATGTTTTAGTTCTAATGCATTGCCCAGAACTTGAAAATGTTGAATCTTATCAAAATACGTTTTTGTATTTGACATTTTTGCCATTGCTCTAGATTGAGATGGCCGATATCGGGAAGATACGCAAGCTGAGAATTTGGCACGAAAAGAGGAATCCTTTCTCTGGCTGGCATCTTGGCAGGGTGAGAGACCTGCACTACGGTCTAGTGCACTATTACACAGAAACAATTTGTCCAGTTCACACTGTAATCATGATGTAAGCAAGCATTCTTCGTGTTTTCTCAGCTACTTGTACTGGTACACTTAAAAATGATTTGTGCACTTTGCTGCTAAACGTAAATGTATTAGTGTTTCACATGTGAGTCTGCAATCGAAAGAGTTCAATATGAACTCAAACATCTCTCATCAAAGTCCAAATGATCTATGCTATATACATACATTTTATATAGCTTTATATTCTTTCTGGATGTTATATCATCTGTTTCTATTTGTATTTCTTCTAATCAGTTCTAGGAGAAACAACTGAGACAACGTTGATATTTAAGCAAAATACAAAATTCTGTAATGTGTCCTGAGCTCTGTGCCATTACATTTTCTTCTTGGTTTTTCTGTATAAAGGTGACATTGATGAAGACCCTTACTAGGGAGAAATGCTCATTTGTTTGTAACCGTTGGTTGGACATCAATGAAGATGACAATGAGATCGTTAGAGAGCTGCCAGCTACTGGAAAACTTGTGCCAGAAGCTTTACCACGTGAGAGAACCACAAAACACATTCATTCTCTCTTAAAACTTCTAATTAGTGCATTTTTAAGTATCACAAAAACTTCTATTATTAATTTTTAGGAAAACCATTTACATGTATATACTGGTGCTTTAAAGGGGTCCTATTATGCTCTTTTACAAAGTCTTGATTTTGTTTTGGGGGTGTATTAGAACATGCTCTCATACTAGGTTGTTCGAAAAACACATTATTTTTCACATATTTTACATTATTACAACCTCTCTCTCCCCAGTCTGGCATGAACGGCTAGAATAGTTCCTGTATCAAATGAAGGCCCGCCTTCTGAAACACGAAATGTGCTGTGATCGGTTAGCTGGGCCAGTGTGTGTTGTGATCGGTTAGCTGGGCCAGTGTGTGTTGTGATCGGTTAGCTGGGCCAGTGTGTGTTGTGATCGGTTAGCTGGGCCAGTGTGTGTTGTGATCGGTTAGCTGGGCCAGTGTGTGTTGTGATCGGTTAGCTGGGCCAGTGTGTGTTGTGATCGGTTAGCTGGGCCAGTGTGAATCAAATCAATTTGAGCACGATTTAAACCCGGATGATTGTAACCACTCTTAAGTTCGTCTGCCTTGTGAAAACTAGCGCGTCTCCGACATAATAACACTCATTGCCTTCTTTATTCCTACAAATCCCGGAAAATATGCGTTGTAGTATAAACGAGTCGTTCGTTGTAGTTTTTGAAAAGTGATTTCTGTTAAATAAAATATCTTTTCAATCAGACTTTGAGCTTTGTAACTTTGCAGATCTTTTTTATGCTCAAACAGCAACATTACAGACTAACTAAAGTTGAAAAAGTGAAAAAGCATAATAGGACCCCTTTAAAGATCCCAGAATCCAAAACACAAATCTGAAGAACCAATTATTAAACATAAAGAATAATAAAAAAAAATAAAAAAAACGTAACAACTCAAGAACCCAAAACATGAATAATGGTTCATAATAACAATAAGCTTCTTTGCTGAACATAAGTGACTTCAAAGAACCACTGAAGAACCTGTGATATTAAATAAGAAAGAAAGAATAAGAAAGATATTATCCCAAACTCAGCCATGCATTATATTAATAGTTTACAGTAGGTAAAATACAGTTTTACAAACAAAGATAATGATTTATTAGATTTTTCATATACCTGTATGTTTTTTTAATTGCTAATCAATAGTTATTAAGTATCGTGTGACGATTTGCACGGGAAACATCAGCGGAAGTGGAACAGATGCCAGTGTTTATTTAAACATTATTGGTGACTTGGGAGACACTGGAGAGCGTCTGATGTTCATGAGCAAAAACAACGCCAACAAGTTTGAGAAAGGAAATGTGAGTAATGGCATGCTGACATGAAACATTAAATGTGCATATACACTACCATTCCTTTTTTTAAAAGAAATGTATCATGGTTTTCACAGAAATATTAAGCAACACAACTATTTTCACCATTGATAATGAGAAATGTTTGTTGAGCAGCAAGTCAGCATATTAGAATGATTTCTGAAGGATCATGTGACACTGAAGACTGGAGTAATGATGCTGAAAATTCAGCTTTGATCACAGGAATAAATTACATTTTACTATATATTAACATAGAAAAACTTGTTTCAAATGATAGTAGTATTTCTGTTTTTACTGTATTTTGATCAATTAAATGCAGCCTTAATTTAGTTCATATATAAATAAAAAGCCTCATTATTTTAGAGATGATAACTGGATGGCACTTGATGAATGAAACATACAAAATTATTGTCATGTGACATCAATCTACTACTGTTTGAAATATTTATTGCTGAATAATGTGTGCTGTTTACATAAAGTTGTATGCTACATTGCTGTCACATGACCTCATTATGTTGGATGTTAAAGTCAGTGTGAGATGTCCAGCTTTCAGCTTTCATCATCATTTTGCATTTCTAAAATGGCTACATTTACATTTAGTCATTTTGCAGACGCTTTTATCCAAAGCGACTTACAATTGGGGAATACATAAAGCGATTCTTCTTAAAGAGGCAAACAGACACAGGAAGTGCTTGTAATACCAAGTTTTAGGCATTGCTCAAATAAGTACAAGCTAGAAAGGCAAGGAATAAATAAAAAGAAAGACAACGTTTTAATATGTCTAAATATGTCTTAACTTTTGGTAATCTGATTAAATAATGAGTTGCTGGTGATATTATATCCAGTTAATTTTGAAAATCTAAAGATAAACACAATGCATTGTGGGATATAGAGCCCAGTACAGTGTGCTCTGCGCAATTTGCACAGCATACGTACTATATACTGCAGAAGTAGTATGTGTTTTACTCTTTTCTCAGCATGATGAGTTCCTGGTAGAGGCGGTCAACCTGGGACTGATCAGGAGGGTTCGGATTGGTCATGACGGACGAGGCGGAGGATGTGGTTGGTTCCTAGATAAGGTGATGATCAGAGAGGAGGGGCAACCTGAGGCGTCATCCATCGAGTTCCCATGTTACAGGCAAGACAATCTAACAAACATTAGCTTGTGTGCTAAAGCATATTTCAAGCTTACTATAAGTACACATATACGTATAAGTAAGTATATGTGCATGTATCTAGCTGGGTAAAGAACATGGGAGAGTGGTGTTTAAGTCAATTATGTAGTTGAGAAAACTGACTCTGGTTACTAATGGACACTAATGAGTGCAGAGGAAACCCTAGCTACACCAATGAGAGAGCTCAGTTACACGCACACACACACACACACACACACACACACATATACATCCTGCACATTCACCTACTGTATCTCTCTCTTTCTCATCTCAGGTGGTTGGATCGTAATGAAGATGATGGGCAGATTGTAAGAGAGTTAGTCCCTACTGATGATGGTCAACGTTTGTTTAGTGAGTGAACACACACATCCAAACATTAACACATCCAAAAATATATAATGTATGCAATAATGAACCAAAAAGTAGCTTGTATGTCTGTCTACATAAATATAAGCTAGATACAATAGGTTTTGACATGTGTGTGTTTGTTCCAGCTGTTGGTTATCACATTGCGATAAAGACGGGCAGTATTAATGGTGCCAGCTCAGATTCGAAGGTGTTTGTAAAGCTGTATGGAGAGAAAGGCGACACCAACAAGATGCTGCTGGTCGTCTCCGATAATGACCTGGTGAACTATTTTGAGACGGGACAGACGGACATCTTCACCATAGAGACCTTTGACATTGGCAATGTATGCTACCTGTTCATGTTTGGCCTATTCCCCAGTCTAAAGTTAAAATTCTATTCTATTCTTTCTTCACATTTGTTCTGTTTACATTTGTTATATTGTATTTTGTTCTGTTGTTCAAATTCACTCTATTCTGTTTAACTAATTCTATTCTGTTGTATTCTAGCTGATTGGCCACACTAACGAGGGTCTGCGAGCCGGTTGGTTCCTGGACAGTGTTCAGATTTGGGTGTCGGTGCACGGGGTGCAGTACATGTTCCCCAGTCACCGCTGGCTCTGTAAAGACGAGGCTGATGGGAAGGTGGAGGTGGAAATCTATCCTAGTGAGACACTGGAGATAGAGAAATGTATGTATTTCACATTTATGGATTTGACAAATGCTTTTATCCAAAGAGTATACAGTATATATATATATAAATTTCAGTTCTTACATTCCCTGGGAATCAAACCCATGACTTTGGCATTGTAGTCACCATGCTATTTCAGTATACTGCTCTCAAAATTTGACTGTTATTAGTGAAATTCATGTTCAAATCCAGGTACTGTGAACTGAAAATTAATGATAATTAATCAGTGTTTGTCTAATCGGCAGTGATCAATTATGAGGTTACCGTGGTGACAGGATGCCGGGACAGATGCAAACGTTTATGCAATTCTTTACGGAACCAAAGATGACACTGGTAACTATGAAAACAATTCAGACTGTACTAGTAGTAGTATTAGCCCAGCAGCTACTGAAAAGTGTGTTTGTGTGTGTCAGGGATCATTAATCTAAAGGCGTCTAAGAACCATAGGAACAAGTTTGAGTTGGGACTGATTGACGAGTTCACCATAGAGGCAGTGGACATCGGAAAACTCAAGAGAATCCGTATCGGACACGACAACGCAGGTACACACATTCACATTAGACATCACTCTAGAATGTGTATAACATTTCTGCAAATATACGTTGAATCTGCATTCTGTAGACGCAGTTGAGGACTGGTTGAGTTCAAATCTGTGCATTGATGATTGACGTGTGTGCGTGTGTGCGTGTGCTCGTTTGTGTGTTTACACTGTAACGAATCGCTGTTCTTTTTACAGCAAAAAAACAAAAGTAATGTACAACCATTCCTAAAAATGAACTTCCTGTGTTGTTAAAAACAGGAGATAGTTTAAAGCCAGGCTATGAGTTGCAAACTGTATTTGTGCTCTAAAACATAATTGTAAAGATGTTTCTGATTCAACACATTTTTAGTTATTTTCTTATTTCTTATTTTCTTATTTTGAAAAAGTGAAAATCATCTGTTATATATCAAAACACACTACCGTTCATTTGGGGTTGGTTAAAAATAAATTAATACTTTTATTTAGCAAGGCTGCATTAAATTGATCAAAAGTGACAGAAAAGACATTTATAATGTTACAAAAGATCTCCATTTCAAATAAAAGCTGTTCTTTTGAATTTTTTATTAATCAAAAAATCCTTAGAATGATTTCTGAAGGATCATGTGACACTGAAGACTGGAGTAATGATGCTGAAAATACAGCTTTGATCACAGAAATACATTACATTTTACAATACGTTAAAATAGAAAACATTTATTTTAAATTGTAATAATATTTCACAATATTACAGTTTGTACTGTACTTTTGATCAAATAAATGCAGTCTTTGGCAACTTCTTTCAAAAACTGTTCACTTGTATTGTAAAACATATTTGAAAACATATTTGAAAAAATTAACAGTTTAAATTGAGTGATGTGCATGCATAATGAATTCAGTAAGGTTTGTGCATGCATAAACATTAAGATTTATTTATATCTATGGGAATATGTGTCTGTATTTTTGTCATTTATGCCTTTGTCTTTTTTTGCATTAAACTGTCACTTAATTTGTGATAATTTAATTTGACTGGCTTTCTTCTGAATCCCCAGTACAGGCAGCATTGGTGTAAATCCTACAGACAATTACTTACAGTGTACATGTGTGTATGTGGATGTTGCACATGTCTCTTTGTGTGTTTGTTTGTGTGTGTGTGTTGTCCTGTTTTCTCAGGTGTGTCTCCAGGCTGGTTTCTGGATTGGGTAGAGATCGATGCTCCGTCTCTTGGTCAGCTGCTGCGGTTTCCATGTGGCCGCTGGCTGGATAAAGGAAAAGACGATGGTGCCATTGACAGAGACCTGTACCCTAATGAACTGCAGACAGTGCTGTACACACCCTGTATGATACATGTTTATGTAGCTAATTATAATGATTACAGACTAATACTAAGCCTTATTTATCTTATCTTACTTTTCTTTGACATGTATTTTTATGTGTCATAAATACAAAAAGATGCAAATTTGTGTCACAACACTCATAGACAGACCTACACAGGCTGTTTGTGATTCATGTGCTTTGCTCTTTTGTGTTGTAGTTGTTCCCTATGAGATTAAAATCTTCACCAGTGATATATTTGCTGCGGGAACGGACGCAGACGTCTTCATCATTCTGTACGGGCAGAACGGAGTGTGTACGTCTCAGAAATCTCTCTGCGTTAATAAGAGAGAGAGGAGGATGTACTTTGAACGAGGGGCGGAGGACATGTTCATCGTAGAGGTAAATGAGCAGATCAATTCTGTGCTGCTCAACATATGTGACCCTTGAGCACAAAACCAGTCTTAAGTCACTGGGGTATATTTGTAGCAATAGCCAAAAAAACATTGTATGTGTCAAAATGATTGATTTTTCTTTTATGCCAAAAATCATTAGGATATTAAAGGGGTCATATGATGCTTTATATGACTGGTTTTGTGGCCCAGGGTCACATATATGTAAAGCTAGTGGGATTGAAAACAATGCTATTTGTCCTGCTTTATGTGCTGAGTTTTGCTGGTAAAGTTTTGTTGCTTGACCAACAACAGACCTGTACAAACTGGCATAAACCAGCTTTTAGTATCAATGAGAATCTATTATAGTTTTTACAAATATTTTGAATCAGTTTTTATTTTTATATATTCTGATTTCCACTGTAATTTACTTAAACGTTTTAGTAATTTTGGTGTGTTTTTGTAATTGTTAGTATTTTTAAAAAATGTCTATATATACAGGTGCATCTCAATAAATTAGAATGTCGTGTAAAAGTTCATTTATTTCAGTAATTCAACTCAAATTGTGAAACTCGTGTATTAAATAAATGCAATGCACACAGACTGAAGTAGTTTAAGTCTTTGGTTCTTTTAATTGTGATGATTTTGGCTCACATTTCACAAAAACCCACCAATTCAACAAATCTCAACAAATTAGAATACTTCATAAGACCAATAAGAAAATTTTTTTTAGTGAATTGTTGGCCTTCTGGAAAGTATGTTCATTTACTGTACATGTACTCAATACTTGGTAGGGCCTCCTTTTGCATGAATTACTGCATCAGTGCGGCGTGGCATGGAGACAATCAGCCTGTGGCACTGCTCAGGTGTAATGGAAGCCCAGGTTGCTTTGATAGTGGCCTTCAGGTCATCTGCATTGTTGGGTCTGGTGTCTCTCATCTTCCTCTTGACAATACACCATAGATTCTCTATGGGGTTCAGGCCAGGCGAGTTTGCAGACCAATCAAGCACAGTAACACCATGGCCATTGAACCAGCTTTTGGTGTTTTTTTTTTACTATTTTTAGTTTTAGTTATTTTTATTTTAGTACAGTTTTAGTTACTTTAGTACACCAAGTAAAACTAAATTAAAATGTTGCCTTGGCAACTAGTTGAAATATTTTTTTATGTTTTATTTTATTTTATTTCATTTTATTTTATTTCAAGCAATGAAAATTTTTTCCCCCCTAGTTTTCATTTTAATTTTACTTTCAGTTTTATTTTTAGTTAACTATAATAACCCTGAAAAAGCCTGAACGAGTAGAAATTCATCTTGGTCCTAGCTTCATTTGAACATTTGAGCTTTTCTATTAATAATTAAAAAACGGCTTACACTGACAGCAATGGTGTTGATGTTGACTTTGGGCTTCTGTAGTTGGAGGACATTGGTGATATCATTGAGAAAATCCGTATCGGTCACGATAATCGAGGGGTGAATCCTGGCTGGCATTTAGACCGTGTGGAAATTCGCAGGCTGCTTCGGAAAGGAAAGGTATTGCTCATTTTCCTACCATACTTCACCAAACTGTTTGGTTTGACAGAGTTAAACAGCTTGTGCACAAATCTGCATCTACTGTACAGGACAGACTTCTTGAAATACAGTTTGGTTTGTCTAATCTTTGCCCACAGCATTTTTGGAAAACTTTCAAGGGATCCAGAAACAACATATCCTGCCGATTTGAGCCTCTTAAACGTCATGTAAAACAGCAAGCCGTGGCTGATCCTTTCACATCAAACGTTCCTTTCCTGCCTAAAGGCCCATTCACACCAAGAACGATAACTATAAAGATAACTAATATATGAGCGTCCACACCAGCAGACGATATCGTCTGTTTATTCTAAGCGCACGCTCGTCTGCCGCTTTAAATGCTGGAGCTCATTATAGCAGGATTGATTCTGATTGGCTGTCAATGCTTTTATCGTTCATCAGCTGGAAAAAATCATTCTGAGAGTGATTCCAATGATATTGTTTCTCTGTGCCTTTATCGTTATAGCTGTGGTGTGGACTCTGCTATTCTTTAATATTAAGAACGATTTTTAGAACTATATCTTCTTTGTTATCTTTATAGTGATCGTCCTTGGTGTGAACAGGCCTTAAGTGGGTCTTAATTCTGGCAACGTGAAACGTGGTTGAGTCTAGAATGTTCCCGTCTGGCTGTGGAAAACCTTCTTTTCCTCTCCACTGTCTGTCGTACACCCATTTCATTGACCCACATCTGCTCTCTGTTGCCGTTTGTATAATTAGTTCCAGTGACTAATCTTCTCTGACCTGTCTCTCCACTCCAGCGCTATCTGTGTACAGTAGAGGAGTGAAACACTGCCTCTGCTGTAGCTCTGTCAAGCACATCACACCAGCGTGAAACTCTGATATCAACATGCACATCCACCGTTACCAGCAGAAACTGTTTATTTACAGTACCGTTCAGTAAGATTTTTTAAAAGAAATAAGTACTTTTACTCAGCAAGGATGCATTGAATTGATCAGAAGTGACAGTAAAGACATTTAGGTAAAGCTTTATTTTAAGGTGTCCTTGTTACACATGTTACATGTGTTTACTATTGTAATATAACCATTAATTATGCATAATTACATGCAAGTAACCCTTAGCCAGACCCTAATCCTAACCCTAACAATATAGTAAGTACATGTAGTTAATTAAATTTACTCATTACTTAAATGTATAATTACAATGTAACAAGAACACCTTAAAATAAAGTGTAACCAACATTTATAAGGTTACAGAAGATTTCTACTTCTTATAAATACTGTTCTTTTGAATTTTCAATTCATTAAAAAATCAAGAAAAAAATGTATCACAGTTTCCACAAAAATATGAAGCAGCACAACTGTTTTCAGCATTTTTAATACTAAGAAATATTTATTGAGCAGCAAATCAGCATATAAGAATGATTTCTGAAGGATCATGTCTGAAAATTCAGCGATATTCACAGCAATAAATTACATTTGAAAATATATTCAAATAGAAAACAGTTTTTTGAAATTGTAATAATATTTAACCATTTTTACTGTATTTTTTAATCAAATAAATGCAGCCATGTTGAGCATAAACGATTTCTTTCAAATAAATCTTACAGACCCTAAACTTTTGAATGGTACAGTATATTACATACAGTGGGTACGGAAAGTATTCAGACCCCCTTAAATTTTTCACTCTTTGTTATATTGCAGCCATTTGCTAAAATCATTTAAGTTAATTTTTTTTCCTCATTAAATGTACACACAGCACCCCATATTGACAGAAAAACACAGAATTGTTGACATTTTTGCAGATTTATTAAAAAAGAAAAACTGAAATATCACATGGTCCTAAGTATTCAGACCCTTTGCTCAGTATTTATAAGTACATGTAGTTAATTAAATTTACTCATTACTTAAATGTATAATTACAATGTAACAAGAACACCTTAAAATAAAGTGTAACCAACATTTATAAGGTTACAGAAGATTTCTACTTCTTATAAATACTGTTCTTTTGAATTTTCAATTCATTAAAAAATCAAGAAAAAAATGTATCACAGTTTCCACAAAAATATGAAGCAGCACAACTGTTTTCAGCATTTTTAATACTAAGAAATATTTATTGAGCAGCAAATCAGCATATAAGAATGATTTCTGAAGGATCATGTCTGAAAATTCAGCGATATTCACAGCAATAAATTACATTTGAAAATATATTCAAATAGAAAACAGTTTTTTGAAATTGTAATAATATTTAACCATTTTTACTGTATTTTTTAATCAAATAAATGCAGCCATGTTGAGCATAAACGATTTCTTTCAAATAAATCTTACAGACCCTAAACTTTTGAATGGTACAGTATATTACATACAGTGGGTACGGAAAGTATTCAGACCCCCTTAAATTTTTCACTCTTTGTTATATTACGGCCTGTCTGATGGATTTTGATATTTGATGTATTTCTGATGATTATTTCATGAATTGGATGATTATTTTACTGAAATTTAAAACTAGCCTCCTCTATCCCATTTTCTGACCAAGCTGGTCAGTTTACTACTAGACATGTAGTCCTAAACTCATGCCATTGGTTGAGTCCGATAACAAGTCTAACCTTAAACAGAATTTTCATGTCAACCTACTTAGGGTTGCATTATGAGCAAGTGTAGTAAAAAATATTATAGCATTGAAATAACTACACATTTAACCTTTGAATAAACACTTCATAGTATTATTCAGCTAATTTCCTCTAATAAAATGTAAAGGACTAATATTCAATGTGCCAAGACTCAAAAATGTGTGTGCACATGCAGGGCTCTGAGACGGCGATATTCCCTTGTGAGGGATGGTTAGCTCGCTCGGAGGAGGACGGCGAGACCATTCGAGAGCTGGTGCCGTCTGACATCATCGTGGAGAAACTTTCACGAGACGGAACCCTCAAAGTCATCGAGACAGAGGTGGACGACGCGCTGGAGAGTAAGTGTGTGGACAGTTTTTTATTTAGAATCGCCTAGATGTATTATATTTATGCATTCAGCAGACACATACAGAGTTCTGGCATGAAACTCTAGATGGCGCATTCCGATAGGCCTAACTCAATCTGACCTAATGACATCATTATCACATGGCACAGCTGATTGGTTCTCTCCTGTATCGGTAGCCAATGAGCTCGCTGCTCAACATTCAAATATATGATTAGTGCTGGCAGTAGCAGTTGCAGCTTGCTTCAGAAACCCTACACCTTCCCCAGCTCCACCTGTATAGATCTGCTACGAGATGATTCAAGTATGCTATATGGGGGTTATTTCATGTACTGTATGTTATATTTGCAGCAGCAATATTTCTTACATGCTCACAGCAGCATGTTGTGGATGTATTGGCAGTAGCAAGTCTCGGTACTTGCTCTGCTGCTGCAGCAGCAGCAGCGTAGCAGATCTATTCCGCCAAGACCAAATACATTAACATTGTCATGCACATTACCATGCCAATCCCTCCGAGAGTTATCATGACAGAACTGGTTTTATGCAAAATGACTGCATTCAAACTATACATTTTTTAATTCATTCATCACCTGGGAATCGAACCCATGACCTTGGTGTTGCAAGCACAATGCTCTACTATTTGAGCAACAGGAAGACTGTTGCATATATGTGTGTGTTGCAGTACACACGTATACAATGGCGGTGACCACCGGGGACGTGTATGGCGCGGGAACCGATGCCAACGTGTTCATCACTCTTTACGGAGACATGGGCGATACTGGAGAGCGTAAACTCAGCAAGTCTGAGAACAGCAACAAGTTTGAGAGAGGATCGGTGAGACACATAAATAATAAAAGTATTACTGACCCCAGACTTTTCAACAGTTGTGAACTTGCCCTCTGATTGGCTGCTGACAATGATTGCTTCTGATTGGTCAGGTGGACACATTCACTCTGGAGGCTGTGGATCTGGGCCAGGTGTTCAAGATCCGAGTTCGCCATGACAACAGCATGCTGAGTGCTGATTGGTATCTGGACCAGGTGGAAGTGGTGGACCAAGATACGGAGGAAGTGTTTTTGTTTTTGTGTGAACGATGGCTTTCGAGAAAGAAGGAGGACAAACGGATCGACAGGGTGTTCTATGTTAAGGTCTGCCTGCATGTGTGCATGCGTGCACCCGTGCATGCATGCGTTAACAATGTTACAGCATTACAGACTAGTCCAGAGCACATCCAGATGTATATACTGTGTGTATATGTGTGTAGGGGTATGAGGGAGAGCGAGAGACAGCCTTCTGTCCAATTAAAAAAGTGACAAATCTGGACAGCAACATGAACAAGAAAAACAAGAAGCGACATTCAGAAAAAGAAGACGATGAAGGATCATGTATGTATAAGCATATAGAGTCCCACTCCACAACATACAGTGGGCTTCAAAGGTCTGAGACTATCAATTGTTCTATTTTGGATTTTTATATGATTTACTAGAATATTTTCATTACAAATTATATGCTAACACTTTACAATAAGGTCTCATTTGTTAACATTAACTTTTTTTTTTTCAAAATTATGTATATATTTCAAAATGTTATTTATTTACATATCATTTTATAATTGACAATAAGTTTTGGATAAATAATTTTTTTATTTAATTTAATTTAATTTAAAGGCCTGGCAACCACCCACGATACCCTTGCATTGTGAACGTTTTTGCATGAGTAAACTATTTTCTAGTGGAATTTAATATGAGGGAAGAAATTAAATGTTGTGTGTGTGTGTAGTAATTCCCTACCACTTCTCGGTGACGACGGGGTTGGATCGGGATGCTGGGACGAGTAGCCGAGTGTATGTCATCATCATAGGAAAGAAGAACAAGAAGACAGAACACCTCCATTTTTTTATTTAATTTAATTTAATTTAAAGGCCTGGCAACCACCCACGATACCCTTGCTTTGTGAACGTTTTTGCATGAGTAAACTATTTTCTAGTGGAATTTAATATGAGGGAAGAAATTAAATGTTGTGTGTGTGTGTAGTAATTCCCTACCACTTCTCGGTGACGACGGGGTTGGATCGGGATGCTGGGACGAGTAGCCGAGTGTATGTCATCATCATAGGAAAGAAGAACAAGAAGACAGAACACCTCTGGCTCGACTTGGATGGGAAAAACGGATTCATGCCTGGATCCTTGGATTACTTTACCTGTTTCGGAACTGATGTTGGCGACATCAAGAAAGTGGAAGTAAGGGAAAGCGCACTCACAGATTCTGTAGTTTTTCATTTCATAAGCTTGATGTACAGTATGTATAGATACGGTAAGATGTCAGATTGCTGGTTTGTGTTGTGTGTAGTTGGGTCATGATGGGGCGACTCCAGAGAGCTGCTGGTTAGTGGAGGAGTTGACTGTCGAGGTGCCGACTAAAGCAGTGCGCTACCTGTTTCCATGTAAATGCTGGTTGGCCAAAGACAGAGGAGACGGTCTCACCGCCCGCTTCCTAGATGTGCAGGATGCAGAAACTGTTAATATCCCACAGAAGGTACACCATTTCATTTCCTTCTACCTTAAAAATATTAATAGCTCATGTTAGATTTGTGTAGATTTGTTTATTCTATAGGTGAACTTTATTAAACATTATATCTATCTATCATTTTTTTTACAGTATACACTACTGTTCAAAAGTTTAGGGTTGGTATGATTTTTTTAAATATTTTTGAAAAAAATCTATTCTACTCACCAAGGCTGCATTTATTTGATCGAAAATACAGTAAAAACAGTAATATTGTGAAATATTATTACAATTTAAAGTAGCTATTTTCTATTTGAAAATATTTTAAGATGTCATTTATTCCTGTGTTGCAAAACTTCGTTTTCAGCATCATTACTCCAGTCTTCAGTGTCACATGATCCTTCAGAAATCATTCTAATATGCTGATTTGCTGCTATATACTACAGAAAGTGTACTTCATGAAAGATGTTTTTCTCCTAGGTGATCTATGAGGTGACGGTGATAACAGGAGATGTCCAGCACGCAGGTACAGACACACAGATCTACATGACTGTGTTTGGAGTCTACGGCACGTCAGAGGAAATGCTGCTGCCAAAATTAGAGGACAGGTACACACACACACAAAGATGCTCATTATTGCAAGATAAATTTAATGTTTTCATGCAGCTTATTTTTTAAAATATTGGTTTGAAAAATGTAAGATTTTAGGGGGGAAACAAATTAAATTAGAATGTAACTTAGCAAACCGGTTACCTGCAGTGTTGTTTTATAGACATTGATGTACTACTATAGTTTTTGTTAATATTTTGAATTCGACTTTATTTTTATATTTTTGTTCTCACTTTAATTTTAGTCAGTTTTAGTAATTTTGTTGTGTTTATTTTTATTCATTTTTTAAATGTCTAGTTTTTAGAATTTTTTTAATTAATTTAGTTTTAGTCATTTTAGTACCTCAGTACAAGTATTACATCTAAATGAAAATAGGTGAAATAAAATAATTTTCAAGTTACAACATTTTTTATGGTTTTATAACCAACCTGGTTACATGTGACCACAGTCTCTTAAAACATATTATGCATAGAAACATGTTAAAATGATCTCATTTGTGTGTGTTTTATGTGTGTAGGTTTGAACGAGGGCAGAAAGACACATTCAATCTGGAGATTGAGGATATCGCTTCTTTGAGAAAGATGAGAGTGCGTATAGATGGTTCTGGAAGCAGACCCGACTGGTTCCTGGATAAGGTTTGTAAGAGGAAGTGACATACGTATACTGTAACCTCCCAAGCCTTTAAACATATTAATGTGTGTATGTATGTAGATTGAACTGCATAACCTGCAGACGGATGAAGTGGCATTATTTACGTACGAGGAATGGCTGTCTCGCTCATACGGGCCCAAGCGAACGCTCCTCTGCGAGATGCCTGCCGTGATAAATGACGAGGAAATGGTGGAGCTCACCACCTACACCGTTTCTGTGAAGACCAGCGATGTAACTGGTGCGCGCTTCCTTGTAACTGTCTATAACTACCTCAAAACACTTCTTCGATTGATTGTGTTTGTGGTCACAGATACAGCAGATTGTAACCTATGATTGGTTGCTTTTTAGCGGCTGGAACCGATGCTAACCTGTGGATGATTATTTTTGGTGAGAACGGTGACACTGGAACACTGACTCTGAAAGAAAGCAACAACACCAACAAGTTTGAGCGCAAACAGATGGACACTTTCCGTTTCTCTGACATCCTCAGCTTGGGCGAGCTCTCCAAAGTGCGCATTTGGCACGACAACTCAGGTGAGCCAATCAGAGCGCTCAGAGCAACACTAGTGATGAGCATATTAGCCAGTTAAACTCAGGGTAGGTCTGTGTATGACCTAAAAACTGTGTATGTTTATATGCTCAAAACAAGTGTGTGTGTGTGTGTGTGTGTGTGTGTTGACAGTTCTTGCTGCTGGTTGGCACCTGGAGTATGTGGACGTGCACGATGACATCTTGGAGAAGAAGTTTCGTTTCCAGTGTGATCGCTGGCTCGCCAAGAACGAGGGTGATGGACAGATAATGAGAGAGCTGGCGTGTGCCAACAACGATGCAGTGGATTTCGATGAAAAAACCAGTGAGACATAATGCGTTTATACACACTCACAAATGGAGATGAATAAAAACAGTTCAATTCACAGAATTCCATTGGACTTCATAACAATTAGTCATTGATTAACTGTCCCATGGGTAACCCATTTTGCATCCATAATGTGGCATATTTCCAAGTGAAACCGAATATTAAACACAAACTGAATGCATGGAGAAGTGTCTCTGGATGACATTGAGGGAAATTACATTATTTAATGGACATTATTTCTTTGAAATAACATGCACAGATCAATCAAACTCTAAAAGATCAGGAACATGTATTGAAAATGAAATTAAAATGAGTTCATTGTTGAATTAGTTAATTGTAAATGTTGACATACGTACATATTCGTGTATGTATGCATATTTGTATATATATATGTATACATATATACAAATAATAAAATTGATAAAAATATATAAATGTAAGATTAAGAAGCTGTTTTTAACATTTATAATAATAAAAACCTTTATTAATTAGAATGATTATTTAATTATGAATTAATGACACTGGAGTAACGGCTGCTGAAAATTCAGCTTTGCCATCAAAGGAATAAATTACATTTTAAAATATATTACAATAGCAAAAAGTTATTTTAAATTGTAATAATATTTCACAATATAAAATTTTTTATTGTGTTTTTAAACAATTAAATGCAGCCTTGGTGAGCGCAAGAGGCTTGCAAAAACATTTAAATATCTTAATTATTTGTATTATTTACTTAATTATGTAAATTTGAAATTCTATATATTAGATTTGATATAACGCCATGTGTTTTGTCTAATACAGAATATGAGATCCTGGTCACGACAGCAGATGCAGATGATGCTGAAACCAAAGAAAACGCCTGGATCGTTTTAGAAGGGAAGAAAGGACGTTCCAAAGAGTTTATGATGGAGAACTCGACTAAAAAGAAGCGTTTTTTACGGTAGGTGTACATTCGTTTCTCTGCTGGTTTTCATTTTTCATTGGTTAACATGCATTATGCTGCTGCATGTGTGATTTCAGAGGCGCTTCGGACCGCTTTGAGTTCTCCTCCAAGGAGCTGGGAGACATCGCAAGCATCTGTCTGGGACACATCCCTAAAGATGGCAAGAAAGTTAAAGCTGAAGCCTCCTGGTTTGCGGAAGAGGTTGTTGTCACGGAGAAGGAGCTGGGCAATAAGTGAGTGACCATTGACTTTAAAGGGATAGTTCACCTCAAAATGAAAATTGGCTTCATTTACTCACCAAGTTTTTCCAAACCTGTATGAACTTCTTTCTTCTGTTGAACACAAAAGAAGATATTTTGAAGAATGTTGGTAACCAAACAGTTGCTGGTAGCCATTGTCTTGTAAAAAATACAATGGAAGTCAACGGCTAACAGCAACTACCAGTGTTAAATAATGGTTTAAACCTCAGGATCTGGACTACTGAGGCTAGTAAATGCATGTTCTGTACAATCCATAATCTGTCCTATTTCACTCAGGTATATTTTCCGTTGTGACACCGCCATCCCTCTTTCCTCAAAACGGGACGAGTTCCAGACCTTCGAGTGCAGCAAGTTCATCGAGAGCTTCACCAGCAAGGCCCAAAGCCTCGTACCTGTAAAATACGAGCTCATTGTTATCACGGGCGACGACAAGGGCGCAGGCACTGACGCCAACGTCTTCATCACCATCTTCGGCTCCAACGGCGACTCCGGTCAGAGGCAGCTTACCAAGAAGTTCCAGAACCTATTTGAGCGCGGCCAGACAAACCGGTTTATTCTAGAACTGCTGGACCTGGGCGATCTGCTCCGCATGCACGTGGAACACGATAACTCCGGACTCAGTCCCGGGTGGCTCCTGAGCAGGATCGAGATTACAAACACGGCCAACGCTGTGACCACGATCTTCATTTGTGGGAAATGGCTGGACAAAAACAAAGCGGACGGGAAGATAAAGCGTGTGATCTATCCAAAGTATTGACATTTATTCAACCAGCCAATGGTTCGGTCAGTATTACTAGTGAATATTCATTACACGACGTGCTCGTATCAACGATCCTTTGGTTATTTACTCACACTAATGTTGTTCCAAACTTGCATGACTTTGAAACACATAAGAAGATCTCCATACTGTGACAGTCAATGGATTCCAATGTTGTTTGGACCCAAACATTGTTCAAAATATATTTTTTTGTGTTTAGCAGAAGAAAGAAAGCCATACAGGTTTGGATGTTCATTTTTGGGTGAGGTAACCTTTTTGATGTTAAAATACTTTTCCAGCCACAGTTTAATGTTCAGCTATAAGTAAACCATGACTGAGTGGATGGTTTTGAGCTATACTTGCGTTTCATTCAACGTCTTATTCCTTCTGCAAAAGACTACCAACTTGAAGTCTGAATTCTTGGACTTTTGCAATTCTTTTTGTCCCTAATGGGTTAAATTGCAATGAAATTTCATTGAGATCCCTTATTGTTTTTGCTTTTTCGTCGCTAAAAAAGTTGTGAAATTTTGCAGAGAAAAAAGACCAGCGTCTTGTCAATAGTGAAAAGATGCATGAAGCATGAACTGGAACATGTGAAAACTCGAAATCTTGTAAATCATTTGCCCGCACATGAAATTCACAGTCGCGTGAATTCCTATTGAGATTACTGGATTTCGACCACAGAAATCGTCCGAACAATGTTAAATATGACCACACCTATATGAGTTATCACCTATAAGAAGATTTTGAAGAATGTTGGCAACCAAACAGTTGACGGTAGCCATTGACTTCTAATAGTATTTGTTTTTTTCCATAATATGGAAGTCAATGGCTGCCAGCAACAGTTTGGTTTCTAGCATTCTTCAAAATATCTTCTTTTGTGTTCAACATGAGAAAAAAACTCGTACGGGTTTGGAACGACATGAGGGTGAGTAAATGATGAGAGAATTTTCATTTTTGGGTGAACTATCCCTTTAAGTAAAAGGTGCAGTTGCATTTACTGTTGTTTGATGAATTTTCGCAGGAGAAATCCAGTCATTTCAATCGGAATTCACAAGATCTGATTTCTCCACGCTCATTTCGTAACTGGTTCAAGTTGGTCACATGGATTCACCGCAATTTGAAAGTGACTTAATGCATCGCTACACTATTGACAATAAACAATAGACCTTTTTTGCATGTGAAATTTTGCCAATATGATGCAGGGGTTTATTACAACTGACTGTCCTTAAGATAGATATTGAGAACACGGTAATACTGATATTCGGTTTGAGTTTTTTTCCACTGAAGTGAATGGCAGCTGATTTTTTTGTCATCTCAAGAACAATTTTAACAGGTGAATGAAAGAGTGGTTGAAGGAGTTACTGAGTTTACGTCTTTGTTTTTAACTGGCCAATCAAATGCACTCTGCATTCAGACCACATGCATCACTCAGTAATGGCAGGATTTTGGTTTCATGAACGTCCAGCCTGTTTGAGACTCGCGTCTAATCATTCAGAAAACTTTTGGAAACCGTTGAAATGGAACAGTCCAGTCTTTCTCCCATCTTCCAGAGTGCCACCTCCCTGTACATCACCAGTGTGCCTCTAAAGACTCAGTATGATTTGATGGATGTGTGAAAGAATACATTTTTGTTTGTATTTTTAACGTTAATATTTTGTACATATTGTTACCTCTGTGAGGCTGTAAGAAGTGCATGTGTGTGCAATGGTTTGTGCAGTAAAACTCAACCCTGAATCCACTGCTTCACTGTTGACCGTCTTTTAATATTTGTCAACTAGTCTTGGTGGATAGATGATGATTCTTTAACATTGGAGCTAGTTTCATCACTTCATTAATAACTCAATATTGCCACCTTCTAGATTGAATGGTTGGCCATGGCAAGCACATACATCATATTGGAGTCCAAAATGCACATGAATGGTTCCTCAAACCATGTGTCTTTTTGAAACGAGTTGTTCTATTTAATTTCATAGCGATCAGACCTGCACTTTGCATCTGGAGGATGGTTAGTTCTTTTGACTTGGGTCAGCGTGTGAAACGCAGCATTGTAGGAGCAAGTTGCACAGGCAAACCACTCATATTTTGAGATTTTTTCATGTTTTTGAAAGAAGTCTCTTCTGCTCACCAAGACTGCATTTATTTGATCAGCAATACAGCAAAAACATAATGTTGTGAAATATCATTGCAATTTAAAATAACTGTTTTCTATTTGAATATATGTTAAAATGCAATTTATTCCCGTGATCAAAGCTGAATTTTCAGCATCATTACTCCAGTCTTCAGTGTCACATGATCTTCAGAAATCATTCTAATATGCTGATTTGCTGCTCAAGAAACATTTCTGATTATCAATGTTGAAAACAATTATGCTGCTTCATATTTTTATGGAAACGGATATATTTTGTTCAGGATTTTGATGAATAGAATAAAAAAAAAACCCCAGCAATTATTTGAAACGGAAATATTTTGTAACATTATAAAAGTCATTTTTACTGAATTTAATCCAGCTTTGCTGAATAATAGTATATAAAAATATTACTGACTCCAAACATTTGAATGGTAGTGTACATATAAAAAATCAGCAATAGACCACTCAAATGTACTTTTTAATGGCACAATAAGATAGAAACAGACCCAAATTCATTATAGTGCATCAACACCTGGAAGTATAAACATTTGAAGCTCTCTAGAGAGACAGATCTGTGTGTGTTTAAGTGCTGAAAACTGTCTAAAGAGCTTTTGGTCACATTTGATCTGCACTCGACAGAAAAGCAAACCTCTGACAGTAGAAAAAACTCAAACTCTTACTGAAGTATAAATGTGTATGTCAGTCGGCTCCCTCTGTGATGACTGAAGACACAGCATTGATGTAATAGGGTCCCTCGTTCAGGTAGGTCTTCAGCTTTAAGTAATTGTGTGCTCCAAATATCTCCTGAGCGCTGGAGGAGCTCAGAAGCGCCCCCACCAGCTCAAACTTACAATCCTTTACTTCTTTTCCAGTCCCCACTGAGCGATCCATCACCCACTCCAGGAATCCAGGAGTGTCCATCATCAGCTGCTGAGCCCACGGCTGACGGCCAACGGCCTGGACCCAAACCAGCAGAGAAAACAACTTACACATGCATTTAAAGAGAACACACACACACACAAAAGGTTGTTCAACTTCAGCTGGATTTAACAAATTGGTAAGATTTGCCACTTGCAGTTGGGGGAGGAGTTGAAAATGAAGGAAGATTATTTCTGCCATGTAATTAAAAAAAGAAAAGTTGATTGTGACTTTTTAAAAGTCTCAATTCTGACTTTTTTTTCTCGCAATTCTGACTTTTCCCCCCGAGAAAAGTCTGAATTGTGAGATATAAACTCAGAAATGTGAGGGGAAAAAAAGTGATAAAACAGAATTGTGAGATAAGTCAGATTTAAACTCAGAATTGTGAGGGAAAAAGGCTGAATTGTGGGGAAAAAAAGATAAAATTGCAAATAAAAAGTTAGAATTGCGAGAAAAAGTCAGAACTGTGATGAGAAAAAAACTGCGAGGAAAAAGGTGAGATATATAAACTCAGAATTGTGAGAAAAATGTAGAATTGTGAGATAAAAAGTTGCAATTGGCTTTTTATTTTTTATTCCGTGGCAGAAATAAGCTTCCGTCGAAAACAGACTGGTCAAGTTAGATGTTTTTCATTTAATACTTTATGTAAAATAAAGTTCAACATAAGCCTTTACTATTTAAATTGATAAACGTGTCACAATACAACATTAAGACTACATGAAAAGAGATTTTACTGTTATAAAACATGGATTTGTGAGCATTAGAGCAACTAAAGGTATCAAAAGAAACACAAAACGTGTCATTGGTGAATCTGCCAATTGTGAACCAGCTTGAGAGAAGCTGCGCAGAAGAAGCCAGCCGCCTGCTCTCGAATTGCTCTCGTGATGCTTTAATGACGTACGTCACTATTTCAAGTCGGACAAAATTTCTAACTGGCATGCACTGCATTGATCAGTCTGCGCAGCACCACGTCAAGTTGAACACACCTAAACACACACACTCGCTCTCTTACAGTGAAGATTCGTAGCGCGCTGCAGTGGAGCTCTGGGAAGGGCTGGGTGCTTATGTTTCGGATCATCAGCATGGGCTGAGAGCTCAGACAGTTAAACCACGACTCGGTCAACAGTAACAGGTCATCCGTCTGCTGCTCCACCTACACAAACCACAGACATCTCACAGCAAAAACCTCCATCTGAACACAAATCCTGTGAGAAAACACAGTGACACACACTCACAGGCAACGTGAGGAGCTGAGCCAGAGCCTCCAAACATCTGACCCGGAGTTCAGTGGCTCCATCAGCGGCCACTTTACTGATTCTCTTCAGCACGGACGTGAACTTCTCTCCTGTAACAGACAGCTGAGTGAGAAAGAGCTCAAAAACGAAGTCAAGCATCCCTGTAACTAGTAGGGCTAGGTATACTGATTCAGTTCGGTTAGATTCCGATTCGCAAGCTATTCATTTGATTCAATTCTGATTCTGATGTGGGTTGATTCAATTCTGATTCATTTGGGAATATTTTGGTTTTAATGTCCTTTTTGCTTACATATGAAAGTAATTCTCTCTTAAGGCCTGTTCAGACCAAGCACGATAACTATAAAGATAACGATAAAGATATAGTTCTAAAACTTGTTCTCAATATTAAAGAATAGCATAGTTCACACCACAGCTATAACGATAACGATACAGAGGAACGATATCGTGATCACTTTCAAAACGATGATGAACGATAAAACACTGACAGCCAATCAGAGTCCATCCTGCTGTAACGAGCTCAAGAATTTAAAGCGGCAGACGCATGTGCGCTTAGAATAAACAGACAATATCGTTCGCTGGTGTGACGCTAATATCGTTATCTTTATAGATATCGTTCTTGGTGTGAACGGGGCTTTAGACAATAATATTTATTGTTATTATTATAAAAATGTTCAGCAATTTAAATATAAACACTACATATTGAATAATTACAGTCACATTTCCAATTATAACTGGATTACTGATTCAATTTTGACTCATTTTGGAATATTTTAGAGTCACTTTTGCTTACATACAAACGTAATTCTCTCTTAGATAATGCTGTAAATTATATATAGAGAATTAACATAAAAATGTATGGTTAAATAATTAATAACAAGGCCCAAACTTTGC